ACATAGCATGTGTTGTATTTGCTGCATTTTCAAAGACTTCAGTCTCGCTGTTGGAAAAATATTTCTCATTAAAAACAGCATTATTTCCTAATAATAGCCAAACTATAATGAGCAAAAGATCCCTCAGCTGTGAACCGATGTGCAAAAAGCATAAAAACGTAATTGCCGGCTGGCAACTGTCATGATGAAAAAGGCACAAATGAGATTAAAAGACGAGATTTATTTTCCCTCTTCCTGTCTCACACCATTTTAAGAGTCCCACATCATCGGGATTGTCACTGAAGTCTCACAGTGGAAACCAACGTGGCAGAATGAAGTAAAGCGGAGACGTTCCCTGGGGAGGCAAATTGGTGTAACGTCACAAATAATCATTCACACCCGAGTGTGTCAGGGAATGAAACTAATGCCCTCTCACTTAAAACCAGAATGGTCTTCCTCACTTCCTAGGGTTCATTTTATATATATATATATATATATATATATATATATATATATATATATATATATATATATATATATATACACACACACCCCCCCTGTGGTCTCTCAGCCTCGCTGGCTCGTGGCGCTGTGGTTTCTGAAAGGTTTCTCAATGTCCTTAATCCCTCCATCTCTTTGTGTCCAGGCAAAAAATACATCCGCAGGAAACTCAAGAGGCCGACGGGGGCCGAGGCGTGTGAGACATCTTGTGTTGAGTGTTTTCTTTTTAAAAAGCTTTTCTTTTCTTTATTTTTTTTAATTGAGGATAATTGGGAATCTTTTTTCAGAGCACAGAGCTTTAAATGAGGTGTTCTATAGTGGGTGTCTTGAAAGAAAAGAATTGTTTGATTGCACTCGTTTTAATAACTATGAATTATCCAAATTAAGAGTGGATGAAGGCTTTAATCGCAGGTTTCAGTTACTGACATTTCCAGAACTACTCTGTGGTCACAATGTGGAGCCTTAAAAAAAAAAGGAAACCACGACAGCACCAAAACGCACATATTTGTTTGAGAAATGAATAACAGGATTTAATTGGTGTCTGCTAGTCTTAAATATATTCAATAGAAGTATTGAGCAGAGAAGCTGAAACAATGGGCTGGGGGTTGTGAATAACCGGTCGGTAGAAGACACACAGGGATTATTTAGGCGTCTTCTCATCACGAAGACGCCTCGGCCGGCAGCTCGTAGCCGCCAGTGGAACAGAATAAAAAGAAGCTCATCTGTGGTGACGACGAGCTAGCGCTGGGAGCTACTTTCGATTATTAAATCTAGCATCATCATCTCCGCCCATAAGTCTTTAAGTTGGAACCAAGTTTTGGTAAATGAATACAAAATGAACTCGTTTGTACATCATCATTTCTTTATTTGTTGGTAAACAAACTCTGAAAAGAGAATCAGCCAGGTTCTTGATTATTGGCATCAACATGATTGATTTATTTCTGCAGTCACGGATAAAAAATGAACACCCCACTGCAAGAAGAAACGTCTTCTTAAACGAGTCATAACAATTCCATCCTCAGTCTCATGTTCTACCATCAAGTCTTAAAGAGCAAAGCACTGACCATGAAGTTAAAACTGGTGGATCACCGTTTTAATAAAAAATAAAAAAAACAAAATGCCAATGGTCCAGTCTGGAAGAACGTTTAGCGATCTCGCTCCACAACAGACTTTGAAACCACAATAACAGATTTTCGGACTTGATGAATGACTCATTTTGGATTTTTTTTTTTTGTTGCAGCGTGTATAATAAATAACATGACACCTCCGTGTGAGCCGGTTGCGACCTCGGTTCAGTGGAGCGGCGTAACTTCTCCTCTGACTGTATAAGGTGCTGAGAGTGTGTGTGTGTGTGTGTGTGTGTGTGTGAGAGAGAAATGTCTTCGCTTCAGGATGCGATTCGTAAATGTTTGGCTGGCTGAGAGTACGTCGATGCGTTTGTGGTTAAAGAGACACAGCGGAGTGTCCAGAGGCTTATTGGGTTAGTAGTTTGATTAAATCATTAAATATGTAACAGGAAAGAGAGTTGCAAAAACAACCACCTTTAAAACGACAAACAAAAAGCCGTAGTGTAACACAGCGCGTCACTTCTGCCGAACGCAAACCACAAATATATTTACAATGGAAAACCAAAAAGGAAACGTTACCACATTCAGAACCACAGACGGAGGAGTCACGACGCGGGACCCCGCCAGTGAGAGCGCGACGTGTGTCGTGTGCGTTCGTGTCGCTGACCTTAAGCTTTGCGTGCCGCTCCTCCGGGAGCCAATCAGAGGAGGAGGAGGCTCAGTAACAGCCTCCATCTTCAATGACAAAGACCTACTTCCACCCCGAGCGGAGTTCTTCCACACCGATTACAGGTGGGTTTTTCCTCCGGCTCCCGATGCCGTTTCACGTGCATCCCGAGCTTTTCGGGGTGGCTAATCTGGAGCTAAAGAAGCCCGTAGTTCTTTATTTTTAAGCTCACTGTTGTTTTGCTTTCACAGATTAAACCCCGGCCCGGCAAAGACGTACAAACGGGCCTTTTAAAATTCAGCTTAGTGTTCTCCCACGACAAATCTGTAAGCGCGGTTTGAGGGGATGAAAGCTTACAACCAAACAACAGAAAGCAATTCCAAACGACGTCCTGTACTCGCGGTTGTCTGCGGGTACGAGGCGGCAGATATCAAAGCGTCAACGCGGCTCCGCGCTGGCTTTCACATTTTGGTCGGTTCCAGAGTTAAAACCATATAGACACGCGGAAGGGTTTCAAACCAAAGTCGGCTGTGGTTCTGGATGACAGACGCGGTTACGCGACCAGAACAAACATTCCCCCATTTTCAATCGCCGTGCGTGTCACTCCCCCCCCCCCCCCACTGAAATAAGGAGATCGAAATGGAGAAAAATGCCTTGCAGGTCTGTCTTTGAAAGGGGAGGCTGGGATCACTGACAGGGCCGATGCAGCGCCCTCCTTTTGTTGTGTGTGTGTGTGTGTGTGTGTGTGTGTGTGTGTGTGTGTGTGTGTGAGAATCCTTTTGCCACAACTCCTTTTAAGGCTTTCAAGCTGCTTTGGATCAAAGTCTGGCCTGGGGGGGGGCGGGATAATTCAGCAGAAAACACAGTTTAAAAACATCGCTGTCTACCTTCACGTGCCGCCCAATTACATTTTTCAGACACACTTCAACACCGACTTGATCCGACGTGCCTCCGGCCGCACATCGTCCGCCGGCATCGATTCGTTAAAACGGCGCTTTAACAAAACCATTCGTTTCTCCGGTTTGAGCGTTTTCGAATGCTGAGACACTAAACTGCAGTCGAGAGCAAAAAAACTCACTCGTGTAAGACTTGAGAGGTTACCAGAGCGGAACCGCAGACAAAAGCTGAAATGGACAGAGCGCGCGGGGGAGGGAGGGGAGGCAAAACGAACCCCACACTGGCCGCGGGATTAGAACAGAGAAACCGTACATTAGGCTAATATGCATCATCGTAAATACCGATAGATCTCCAGCTCCAGAAACATATCAGGGAGGAGTTTCTCTTTCTGGATTTAAATGAACAAACTGTTTTTTGTTAGTGTGTTTTTGCTTTCTTTAAAAGGAATCGTTCCTGCTGCCTGATTGGAATGAGAGGAGCATCACGGGGAGATGAGGGGGGGGGGGGGGCTCTATGTGAAGCTCTGGAGGGGGTGGGTGACCCTCATGCAGGCCCAGTAGAAGGGCCCGGCCAAAGTGACGAGGACCAGGAGCAGTAGCGCGGCCCACGAGGCGTAGATTCCCTGGTAGGTCGGAGCCCTCGCCTACGTTCTCGCCTGGAAAACAGCCAGACGGCATTTCAGAATAAAGCCTTAACGAGGCAACCAATCAGCGTCCAATCAGTCAACGAGCACGCGACGGGAAGAAAAAGAAAAGGGTTCAGTTTTTTCTGTGCCGAGAATCCTCTTTTTCAAATGTTTTTCATTCCAAAAGATGAACCGGTCTAATTTTGTAATGACACCATTGTAATATTTTCAATTGTGTATCAATAGTCTGTGATTAATACACATGCACCACAATGATGCAGCACCACGAAATTGTAGCAAATATATTAATTTTCATTGCAGCGTTCAATTCTCCAGAGTGAGGGGGGGGGGGGGGTAGAGGGAATATCTTTGCCATCAAGTATTGAGTGTGCAGCTGCTCCCAAGGAAATTATTTAATGAGGATGGTAAGAGTGACTTTCAAAGAACCCACAGGGATCTTCTGAAAACATGGAAATGTGAATCCTGTTTACGAACTCACAACAGAGTTAAGATGGTACAAAGAGTCGGATTAGAACTATGAGACATTATTTAGGAGGCATTTTATTCAGGCCAAGAGACCCCCCCCCCCCCCCCTAGTTAAACAAGCTTTACAGGTGATGTGTGCACGGCCTCAACGGGACAACGTTGATTCTCCTCGCCGTTATTTAAAGAAAGCAACTGTTAGGTAATCAGAAAAGCTCGGGCTGTGAGAAAAAAAAAACATGTAAAAAACACATTGAACGCGCTTAAAAAGTAACGCAGAGCAACGTCTTCTCCTGTAAACGCCGTGGGAAGTTTTAATGACTCAAGCTGCTCTCCCGGGCCTTCGCCCTTTAAATAGCAGCTATTAGCTGGTGCTGCTGAGTGGGGGACACGTGGCAGCGCCACCAGCTTGGAGCTGCTGCGGGGATGGATCTCCTTAACTACGGGCCGTGTACTTTAAAGGCGCCGCGTCGTAATTTATCCTTGGTTTGAAGCAGTCTGAAAGGCCAGTGCCGACTGTTTTCTTTTCTCTAAACACAAAACCCTGGGATGCTGAAATGGTCCATTTGCCACTTTAATTGCGCAAAAGCTGTCAATACTCGCGATTTCATTGTGGGCCCATTGCCCAACTAGTTCCCCACACTGGGAGGAACGCAGACCCCCGGGATCCGCGAGAGAAAGATGTTTTTCTGGTTGATTTAATGGTGTAAATCCACCACTCCACTGCTGCTTGCAGCCAATCTGAGCACCCTCTGCTGTTTAAAAAGCAGAACGGATCCACTGCGTTTTACTCTCTGCTGACAATACTCCCCTACGATGGGGAGGTCGTCCTTATTTTTATCCACGTGAACATGAAAGCGGCGCGAGCCTTCAGTACCGGAGCGCGCAACGACGCTATTCCAAAAAGAGAAGAGATTTCGCGTGAAAGCCGGCATGTTGCCGGCGGGTTGACACTCACCATCAGCCCCGCCGCAGAGATACTGAACAGCAAGCAGAGGAGGAAACACCACATGCTCCGCCTTCGGGGGTACCTCTGGCCAATGGAGGAGCTGCAGAGGAGAGAGGGGGGGGGCACATGTATGCAACACGATGATGTCCTGTAAGTAGGAGCCTCTTTCACAGCAGGAATTTGGAATTGTCGCAGAAGAAGCACAGGCGCTATTAATAAACGGGGCTCCGTTCTACAGAGCGACAGTGAGTCAGCGGGAACCAGAACTGGAGCAGCGGAATATGATCCAGACACCATTGATGAGAAGCGTTTACACCTGACGAAACATCTGATAAAAAGGTCTTGATTAGCAAGGATGTGGCTTCAAACATCGTTTGGCGTCTTTCCTAAGCAGAGAAACTCCTGCAAGATCCTTTCTATTTTAGGTCTTCTTTGAAATCTCCACGGCTAAAGGGCTCGGACGTGCAGCAGCACGTGTCCTGGTTCAACCCGGGTCACAAGTGGCTCAGAATTATCACGATGTCGTCGGCGTTACAGCGACGTGAGAGGTTGCAACGACCTTTGACCACCAAACTGTAATCAGTTCATCCTGAAGTCCTGCAGGTGTTCCTAAGATGTACGACGACGGGAGCAACACGTGTCGGACGCATGGAATCAGGTCACGGATTTGCATCTCAAGAACTGATACGCATCACATGGCGCTGAGGTCCGGTGAACTCTGCCCAGCGCGTTAAGAAGCTTACGCAGAGCGAGCGAGTCATCAAGTCAAAAAAAAGCAGCACTAAACACAAGTGGAGGTAAATCGCAGAGCTCAGAGCCCCGTGAAGCCGCTCGCGCAGCGTTGTGACGAGCTGCCGGGGGGGGAAGAGACCCACGCAGGGGGTGAAGGGATGCGACGGATGAGTTTCTCACGGCTACTTACACTTTCCTGCAGTGTGGGCAGCGGGCCAGCGTCCGGTCTGTGAACTCCGTCCACTGGAAGGACAAAATACAAAAAGACACCGTCGGCCCCAAAACTACATTTGACACATAAGTCCCAATGATATGATGGTAAAACCAGTGTGTCATATATATATATATATATATATATATATATATATATATAGACCTGAGTGAGTAATGGCAGTGGTGGAAAGCTGCATACTGATGTAAGCCATCTGACTAATAGACGATGTCTCTCAAATGGACCTTGAAATGAAAGAAAAATGGAGAAAAGCACCAATCTTCACATTTGAGAAGCAGATTGTTTGCATTTTGCTTGACAAATGACTTAAATTATCTACTCGAGCCACGATCTATTGATGACAAAAAGAGCTCGTCGCTGAATGATTCCGCATTGAAGTCAATATTGGTACAAGTCGGCTCTGATGACTCGAAGTGAATGAAGGTAAATGTTGGTCAGATTAACGGCGCTCAGACACATTTCAACACGCTGAACAAAAGCGGCCCAGCGCTCGCCAGCAGGTGCTCCGCGCCCGCCAACAAAACGACAGAGAAAAATAGTCTCCTCTCAGGCTGCGGACGTTTATTCCCTCCCCAACGCCAAGAATACACACACACATATATATATATAATAAATCAGGCTGTGTGCACGCATTGGACTTGTTTGTGATAAAAAAAAGCTCTCTGCATTGGAAGCACAGGGGACTTTATCAGTAGGTCTGTGACAAAAGGACCCCCCCAGGGCACAGATTAGTGTTCAGCCCCCCCGTCTCTGCGAGGCAGAGGTCCGCCTGCATGCTAATCACCCTCCAACAGCCAACGCGCTCTGTGGCCTCGTTTGCAAAGCCCTCGTTAAACAGCAGCCAGTTAAAATTCTTCTCCACCCCCCCACCACCTCCACCCCCACCTCCACCCACTCCCCTTTTATATGAGCGCAGAGCTGATGGGGTTATTGATCTTCACCAATAACTCAACATTTACTTGGCCTGGTGCGAGGACGTGTTAATTCACTTCTCTGGCTGAGCTTCAGCGCGTTTCATGACGGGCCGCCTGAACGCGTCACGTGTCAGCAGACAAACGCCACGAGCCACTGCAGAGCGAACCGCTGTGGCAGCTTTACTATTCAGCGAAGCACGTACGGATTACGAAGTTCCGGACGTAAGAAATGCATCACCTCCGAGAAACTTAACCCTATCATGGCTCCTTTTTTCATATATATATCTATAGAAATATGTGCATCGTTTAAAGAGGCCGTGTAGGGGCCGGTGCCAGAGCCTTGATGAACTGAACTGGCGTTAGAGCTGCTACTGCTTGCCAGAGGCTGATCAGATGATCAATAGAAGGTTGTTTCACGCCATTGTTAACAATAACTTGATCATTACAGCTACAAACCGAGGCTCACAAAGTTGTAGTGGTTCGATTTTGGTCGTTAGCCAGAAAAGATTCATTAGGAAAGAAACAACAATGGAGGATGAAGCTTGTGGACCGTTTTGGAAAAGGTTCTTATTGGCCTTTCTTCAGTGGAATCAGTTGAATGTCTAAAAAGCTGTAAACAGTTGAACCAGCGAGCTGGTGGCCGAGCGGCGAACAGACAAAAGAGGGGAATCAGTCCGCTCATCCGACTGCAGAAGGGCTGTTTGGATGTGCGAGTCGTACCAGGAAGGTGTTGCTGCAGTGTCCACAGGAGACCCGGGCCCCGGCCGGCTGGGGGTCCGGACTGGCAGGACCAGGATGGACCGGACCCAGATTAATTACCCGCTTACTATAAAAGGACAGAGACAGAAAGAGTCATGAACATTCGCTCCACGGCCGCCTGGAGACGGCGTGCGCCATCACTCGGCGCCCGAGGGCAGTTTCCCTCCTCAGGATTCCTCTCCTCGTCCTCGTCCTCGTCGTCGTTAAGCCATTTGATGCTTCGCCGGTGATCGCCGCTCGCGTTTTACGGCAACTTCATCAGCGTTTCGGCACGCAGCTTCCCGTTGCTTAGCAACAGGCATCCTCCCTGGCAGCTTTGGATAAAAGGGGAGAAAGCGGCGTGGCTGACGATAAAACGAGCCGGGTCGCCACCTCGCGTGGAAGCCAAACGATGTGGAGTTCTGAAAACAAATCTCTTTTAAGCTAAAGAACATCTGGGACACAAAAATACACGCAGCTCAGGGACGTTTTCAAAGAAAGCTCAAACTGAAACTGGTTTTGGGGGACGAGATTGCTGCTTTGTTCCAAACGAGCCGTGATGTGCGATAATTTCAAAGCAAATTACCGGTTAATGGGCATGTTTTTCTCCGAAGATATGAGGATATTTAATTTAGTATAAAAAACGATGCTCACAGGTGAATAACGTGTTGCAGATCCTCATGAAAACAGATTGTGAGATGCAGCTTCAGACGACACATTCTCACCTTGCAGAAAAAGATTATTCTCCGAAAAAAAAAAAGAGCACTAAACATGTTGGTCCGGCACATTTTCTACCAACTCTTTTACAAATTGCACAAAGCTGCAGCAGCGTGATGCTCGGACGAGCAGTCGGTTTATTTTATAATAACGAGATTCCAACACTTCCATTTGACCTTTAATAGATTTTGTGTTCACTCATTTTCTGACAGAAGTTAACTAAATGTTTTCTTACAAACTGTATTCTTACTCCAAAATATCGACATGTAGACGAATAAATGACTTTACACGAAGAAGGGAAAAGTGCTGCATGCAACACACACACACACACACACACACACACACACACACACACACACACACACACACACACACACACACACACACACACACACACACTCCCTTACCAGTACGGCCGGGGACAGGCGATCCTCTGGGACGTGACTTTGCAGATGAGCAGACAGTTGCAGGGGCAGCGGACGTACTTCTTCCCCGCCGGGGCGTTCTTGATGGGCTGCAGGGGGAGACAGAGGCGCACGGCGAGGGGGAGGGGGGGTGAGGGCGGGTGAGGAGGCAGAAAGGAGAAGCAGTGTGCTCGCATAACCTCTCTACACAAGCAGTGTAATGCGAGTCCAGTCATCCAATCACTTATGTCTTATCGAGTGAGCCGGCCGTACGTCTCCCTCGTTGGCGCGGCCTGACTTTGCCGCTCGTGACAGGTCACGTGACACTGAAGACACCGAGCTCACTTAAAGAACTAAAAACACCACAGCGTTACCGTTGACGCGTCCTCCTGTGGCACTAACGGAATACCGTGCTCACGGTTCTCTCCACTGCCTCATTAAACTCTAATGAGGGCAGATCGAGTCCCATCAGCTTCCTGCTGCGTCATCAAGACCCCTTAAAGTCGCTGTGGGACGGGGCTTTGGAAACTAGTATTACATATAGTCGTTGTGTACTTACTCTTGTATTAAGATGCAACAGAGTAACATATATATATATATAAAATCAATTTGAAGGGTCTGATATCCTGTAATAACTCCCACCTCCATGAAACATGATGTCATTTTGGAGGCTGCAGGTTTGTGTTGCTGTTGAAATATGTCACATTATGCTGACAGGTGTTTCCACTTCTGCCTTTTTCAAAACAAAAATGTATTAATTTAAACAAAATAATGTGCAGCCGCAGGAAAGACACCTTTAGGATGGGACGCTGTTCTTTCTGAATATTTAAATTCAATGTCTTATTATAAAAAAATCACTGCTTTTGCTCCATCCGCCGGTCTCGGGTCGCTACGGCTGAGTGACATGGAGGAGGGAGATGTTCTGCATCGTGATTATCACCACATTAACGGCAATAGAAGACACACAAGGCTGTGGCAGTGAAATCTATAATTGTTTACTGCTGGTAATGATGCTTGTCTCACGCTATTTAATAGATTAAAGGCTACATGCTTCATTCATCAGGATAATGAACAACAGAAGATACACACAGTAAAAATCAGAAGACATTAGTCGATCTTCTGTCCATATTTGTGTACATCTCTGGATTTGAGACAATACTGATGCATTAACTCGATGATGCAACTTCCATCTGTGATGCAAACGAGGAAACCAATTTTCGTCCTAATGCTATCTCGTCTGCATGTCCAAAAGTAAAAAGATATAACAAAAAAGTGTTTTAAGTCAAAATATATTATGTTGTAATATCATCAAAAAAAAGTTTAAAAAAAAAATATTAGGTCAAGAAATGTCATGTCAAAAATATTAGGTCCAACATTTCTAAAAGGTCAAAAAACAACATGGAAAAGAAAGTATGTCAAAATATGTGGGTATGTCGAAAAAGGTCACAGAAAGAAATTACCAATATATATCAAAAATATTAGGTGAAAAAAAGATTTCGAAAATATGTTATGCTGGAAAAGAGACATTTTTAAAAAGTGAAGAAATATTGTTGAAACATGTTTGCTTTTTTTTTTTTAAATGTTCAAAATCTTTTATGTCAAAAAAAATTATGGGAAAAAAACTGAAAAAAGACCTGAAGGTTGTTCCCAGCGATCTCCAATTGCGCATCACGGAGAAAGTTCAGATTCAACCAAATAGGAACAAATGCTTTCCGCCAACGAACCGTCCCATTACAGATTACAGGAACTCTTTGTGCCCGCGTGGATTATCCAGGGTAATGAGGACACTGACACTCCCTTTCACTCAATTGGACTGAGATGGAGGCGGATATATATATTTTTTGTATTTCTGTAAAACAATCTTTAAATAGAATATAACGGTCAAGTAAGTGTGCGTATATAGCTGGCCGATAAACTGATAGTATCTGTTTGATGGACCTGCCTGCTGGTTCCTGGTCACCAACGGCAACACAGACACAAAGTTGTGTTGTGTTGCGTTGCACAAGGACAGTGCGTGTGCGCATTTGCTCAACGGCTGTCGGGTTTGTGAACGGATACAGTTATTTTAAAAAGCTTGGAATAATAAAAGTTAATAAGAAATTCGTAGACTTAGTTTGAGTTTCAGAAACAAATGAAAAGCCGTCACTGTGCAAACATACCGTGGCTTCGTTGCAAACGCCACACTTCACCACGTGTTGGTGGATCTTCCCCTCCACGGAGATCAGGCTCTGACACACCCTGCAGCTGATTACAGGAGCACTGCCGCTCTCCGGGGAGGTGAGGGGGGAGTAGGGCGGCGGGTCCTCCCCGAGGAGCACCGAAGGCTGAGTCGGGCTGGGGAACGGGGGGAAGCCTGCACAGGGAGGGAGGCGAGGAAGGGAGAAAACGGTGAATGCAACAGTTGTCCAACAGTAACAAATGAATGGATTGTTGAGGGAACACAATTACAGAAGTTGCACAACTGAATGCCTAAATTCTCATGACAAGTAACCCCTTATTTTGTGGTTAATGATATAATAAGATTTAACTCGAGGTGGACTTAAAGGAGATTTAGAAAGAAAAAAAAACCCTCTTGGAATGCTGATCGGGTTTGTTTTCAACAAATAAGACTAAGCATTAGTGAAACAGACATCTAAGGAATTAGTTAGTAAAAAATGATCTAGAAACCAGATGCAACATTATATGATCTGTATTCAAAATAAGCAGACTGTAAAGACACACACAATTAAGAGCCATATATTTTCCGTTAGCGTGTTTAATGTTGGTCCCTCCTGACGTGAGTTTCCATTGGTCGCAGCATCATTGACCAGCCTCCCTAATGGCTGTCTCATATGTCAATCAAACCAGGGGTTTCTCAGATGTCTGCTTAGCGGTTAGCTTAACTCGCTATCACACTAGCTACTATTCAGCATGTAAAATATATGCCAAAATATGTGCCAGGAAACGAGAATTAAATGTATTTCTGTAATAATGTTACCGAGCTGCAAACCTAAAGCTGGGCGCGTGTTTTGCCGCTGCTAAGTAGAGATAGCTAGCTAACATGTAGTAGCTATGCTAACACACAACGGTTGCTACGGTAGCTTAGTTAGCAAGACGCCGTTTCCCTTCAGTGTCTTCTTCCACCTCCTGGTTGAAAAAAAAAACATTTCATCCCCAGCAGGGGACCACGAAGACGTCCCCCGGACTCGTACCTTCCGCCCTGCACCAACACACTTACGACCGGGCTGCTCCACGGCTCAGGCAGCGGGCTAACCGGAATGCCCTGTCAGTGGACGCTAACGTTAGCCAAGGCTAGCCGAGGCTGGAGTCGGGCGGAGGAGAAGCGGCACCGTGGACACTCACTCTGCGGCTTGATGGGCGCACCGTAGGGCGCCGCGCCGGGAGACACGCCGCCGTTGCCGCTGCCAAGAGCTCCATCTCCCAGATCCGATAGCAACGGGGACCTCTCGCCGTCCGCCATACCGGGAGAGGGGAAGGGGGACCGGTGGGGGGCTGGAGGGGGAGGAAGAGCAGGAGCGTGAACGGAGACCAATGTTGTATTGTTGTGTCGGAAATGCGGGCGTCACATGATCACGCCACCGCCGCCGCCGCTGCTGCCGCTGCTGCGGTATCGGAGCTCGGGGGTGTGGCGGAGCTTTCCCGGAGGACGCTCCTTCCACAATACATGGGTGCGGGGGAGCCGACCCCCTCCCCCCCCCCGCGAGGTGTGCTCTCCATCCCCCGCGAGCCCGTTATTTATAAGTGGCTTTATTCAAAGCAAAACGACGGTTTCAAAACCGAACATTACATCTACATGTGAACTGCAAAGTAGCTCTTAAATAAATGTAGTGATGCAAAATCTGACTGTAATGGAGTGAAGTAACTTAAGATTAATGGTGATGCTTGTGTGTACAATAGGCTGTCTTCACAGGCCCTGGAACAATCAGAGTACAGTATAACTTAATATTATTTGAATCTATTTTAACGTCTTCCCCCTTAATCGGTTTGCAATAGCAGACAGTTTCTTACCATCCACAATAAAGGAATTCTGCCTGACAGGATGAAAACAATCGCATTCTTAGACAAATGTTTATTGTAAAGCCGTATTTGAACACTCGTAGAATAAGACGAGACACAAAATCAGGGTCCAACCACCGTGTCTCCGTGGGCGTCCTCGTGGTCATGGCATGTTGATGAAGTCCATGGGACGCTTCATCGGCAGCGTCACCTCCAGCTCCCCCCTCTCACTGAAGAACTGAGCCTTTCCCCCCTGGCTGTGGATCGGATGTGGGAGATGGAGACCCAGTTTACTGAAGAGAGGAGAGCAGACGGGTTCAGAGGCCGAGCCGCAGAGAGCGTGTGTCCGAAGGGAGGAAGACGTTAAGACACCTCCGGTTAAAAGGAAATGTCTGCAGATGGGAGCTTCTGGTCGGAACCGCCGGCGGCTGTCGTTTTGGAGATTAGAAATAAAAGAGAACATTTTCAAAGCACGCCTTACTATTTTGGCGTCCGCAGATCAAGGAACTTTTCTTTGACGTCCAGGACCACATCGGTTGCTTCTGTCTCTGGTAGTTTGATCTTCACCTAAGAGATGGAAAGAGTCAGCGTCTTGAATTTCCTACACTGTGGACAGTTTAATCTTCACTCATATTTAAAGAGGATGACAATTTCTTCACACACAAACGTTGTCAAAAGCCGTGAAAGGCTGTAAAATACATTTATTTCCTAAGTACATTTATGAGAATCCTTTGGCAGTGGATGTATGTGTACATTACCAGCATGGCTTCACAACACATGGAGGACGGGTCCTTTCTGTTCAGGCCCAAGAACAAGTCCTCTGTCCCCACACTCTGCTTCAGGATTACTTCATACCTGGACAGAAGTTATTTCACGTCACATTAAAACAGACAACAGCAACACACAGAAACGAGCAGACAGCAGTGAACTGAGGCTTAATCGAGATGAATAATTAATACTTCAGGCTGACTTGAGACGTGAGGATGAAAATAAAAAGTTCACGTCTGCTTTCCTCAGAGTTCCCCCCTTCATACATCCTCGGACCCTGTGGTGTGTGTCTGCACGTAGTCTTACTCAGGTGGGGGCCGCGGGTCAGCGGGATCATCATACTGGGAGCCTTCACCCACCTCCTCCTCGCTCCATATGTCTTTGCTGTCCTCCTTCCCGCACACAGTTGACACTAAAATTAACACAATTACACACTGATTCTGTTCCATCGGGCCGTCTGAGTTACTGTAATACGACGTTACGTGATGAGTTATTGTGCGAGAGGAAAAACAAAGCGCTAACCTTCTTTGTCTCTTTTGGGTGGGGGGCCGATGTGTCCGGGACCCAGACCTGCACAAGCAGCCACGTTCTGTTGAGACAAACCGATGTTATTACAACGGAGGGTTTAGGCCTCTCGCGTGAAGGTTTGTTTAGCTTCACAGACGTACTTTTAAAAACGTCCTGTGCCACGGGATGTGATACGTGTAGCGTGTGGCCCAATGAACTGAATGAACAATCAGAATCTGCGCTGACGAACGGAGTGAACAATGTCTTACTTTACAGTCTTCATCATCACCGTCATCATCCTGCTGAGTTGAAAACAAGGTGGAGAGAGCCTTCAGGTACTCAACGGATGATACGCCGAGAGCCTCCATTTGGACTGGAACTAAATCACTTTCAGCTATTTAATGCGTGTCTATTCAACAAAAAAAGGAAACAACAATAAAAGTCCCTCAAAACGGTACAAATGTGTAAAAATATTCGTTAGCCTGAACATGTGACCCTCGTTTGGCCGCTGCTACATTATTGAACGTTTGGGCTGTTCCCGTTGACGCGTTTCCCACGGAGACAACCAGGCGTCCCGCTGCCATGGCAACTGGTGACGTCAGAGGGACGGATAAGGAACCATGGAACAAATGAATGAAATCAACAATAAACTACAACACATGCAGTAAGCATGTATTAACATTCTAATCAAACAGCATATCGATTAAAACGAAACAGCGTTTTAGGGAAAGAGCCATGAAGAAAAAAAGTGCTCTGTATGCTGCTGTTAATAAGCAATGAATACAGGGTTGTGGGGCGGGCTCGTAATTTAATAACACGGTAACAAATAAGAAAATGTTTGGTGTTTGGTAAAATGACCAATCTACACAGCAGCCGTCAGATAAATGCAGCGGAGAAAACACGATGCCTCCCAATTAAATGTAGTACACCATAATTATAAAGTGGCAATAAAGTGAAACACCACTTCTAGCTAATTAAAAAATATACCATTCACAATGGATTTAGTCAGTTCGTATTCATTAATGGTGAGCATCCCGTCTTTCCATAGCGTTTTAGTAGAGCCCTTAGTTTATATTTTTCTCAAGCGACCTGAAAGGCGGAAGGATTTTCGCTCCGTCGCGTCCCTCCTCGGACACCGTAGTGAGCGCACGTGTGCGCAGCGGGCTTCGTGTTTGAAGGTGACCAGGGGGAGAAAGCGCCATGCCGGCACCCGTGTTGGCCGCCTCTCCTTTCGGCGACGAGGAGACAAAGACGACCCCTCCCCTCCTCTTGGACGAGCTGAGCCCGTACGGCGCTCCGCAGCGGGCGGCCCCGCGCCCGGAGCCCGAGGCGGGCGACCTGGAGCAGAGAGTCGCCTCCCTGCGGCAGCTCGCGGGGCCGTACACGGGCTGGTGCCGGGGCGTCTACGACCGGATTAAACCCAAAGTTCAAGGCGCCGTCACGGCCGGGAGCGACACGTACGCCTACTTGAAGAACCCGCCGAAGGACTTCTATGCCCGGGCGGGAGTCATCGGCTTCACCGGCGTACTGGGAGTGTTTCTCGCCCGGCGCTCCCGGGTGAAGAAGCTCGTCTACCCGGTGGGCCTGATGACCGTGAGCGCCTCCCTCTACTACCCGGAGCGCGCCGCGGCCGTCGCGAAGTCAACCGGGGACTCCGTGTACGACCGGGCGGTGCAGAGCTACGCCGCCCTGGAGAGGATGGTGAATCCTCCGGGCGAAGACGGAAAGGTCCCCGACTCTGATGACAAACCCTGAGGACGCCGCCGGCGTGGCTCCGTTTAGCAATAAGAAATCAGCGTGTAGTTGGAATCTAATCTGTGTGACTTCCGCGTGCCAACTTCTCTCTGCACTAAAGGTCACGGAACTCAGGCCGGGCATTGCATCTCACCATGGGGGGGACTAATGTGGAGGATGTACCACCGCTTCTGATTTGAATGTATATTTATATAGATTAATTAATAAAAGAATCAACTTGCATTTACGTTTTCACTTTAATCAAGGTTATTGTTGGTCATTGTTTACCAATACAATGAATGATGTCCTAATACTCAACTTTGTCAAAGTTGTTTGACTTCACAAAGTTTTAAATTGAATATATTTCAATTTTGGCCTGCTGGTTAGACAAAATAAGAATGTTTCATTGAGCAGAAAAAGTCTAATCAGTTAATAGTCATTGGTTACTGCCCTGGAATGTCAGACACCAAAGAGTTTCCTCCGAAGGTGAATGTGAGCCGACTCCCTGGCGGCTCTACGACATTTATTCAAAAAAAGATTTGTAATAGAACTTTTTCCATCACGTTCATTAGCAGTCTGAGAGACTAAATTGGATCATCTGTAACAACAATATTCCCAAAAAGACCACGCTGGAAACCTGAGGGTTAACATGGTACGACTGTTAAACATTTTTATTCATCTCTGCTCCAAAAAAAAGAAAAGAAAAAAGTAAGAAATTAAATATGAATCACTTCCACGAGATCCTTCAGAGAAGCACCAGCTTCTCATTCAGAGCGATCTGTGCTTGGGTGAGGTTGGACAAGTAGGTCACCATCAACAGGTCCTGCAACAAACAAAACACGTTTACATGAGTCCGTCAGCTTATGTTGCTTCAACAGTTCTTTAGGCTAAAAGGTAAAAGCTAAAAGGACCATGAGGTTGAACAGACAGCTGTGACTACAGATGTTACGGCTACTCGTGTTCCTGTGTGTGCAGGACAAGTGCTAGTTAATGAGCACAAATAAGAAACAAGCATGATTTTATGCTTCAGTACACCGAGAATCCAACGCCTAATGAGATCAACTAAAATAAAATTCTCTAGCTGAGAAAATAAGAGATGCCCATTTGCCAGCAGAAGAGGAGCGCTTACGTTGATGTTGGAATTGAGCATGTTCTCAAAGTCCTCGGCCGAGATGGTGGGCACCTTGTTGACCAGGTCCATCAGGAAGCGGCCCACGCTGTTGTCTGCCGCCACTTTGCCAGACTGAGAGGGATCGAGTAGCATTAGCTTTACAACCACCGTGCACCTGATTACTTCACAAATGATCTCTAGAGACACGGCGCTGGAATATGACACACGCCAGACGGTGTTTCTTTGTCACTTCCTACACATGGAAACAATGTACCAATCACATCTGACTTGACACACAAACACACAGCATCTTGCCAAACGGACTCACCAGCACGTCGTCGATGTATGCGAGCATGGTGGTCAGCATGTCCTGCAGCCTGGCTGCAGAGCAGCCCACCTGGGACAGATCAGAGGTGAGGCCCTTGGTGCGATTCGGAAGCACACGCGTCCGCTGCAGAAGATCCACTGCAACAAACAGTAGGGATTGTTAGAGGGACAACTACAATTACCTGCCAAGTACATTACAGAAATATAACTGGCTGGAAAAGTACATTAGGGGCCTTTTACATGTTGCGTTGTTTATGCTGCGTCAACAAGTGTTCAAGCTTCCATTTGTCATCTTTTGAAACGCTGCATGTCATGTGACGAGGAACAACCAGTCACAGCGAGCAGAAATCTTTTTATTCTCCTGTTCATACGGAGAAGTTCATCATTTCAGTGCAGGATTACACGCAGATTTACCATCTGCTCAACGTGCTTCAACCTTGCCGTACAAAGAGGACCTTTGGTCGAAAGGTCTTTGCTCAGCTGGAAATCCATTTATCTTTAGTTTAGTCAGTGAAGCCTGATGTTATCGTCGCTGTGGCAGCGCACAGGTTTTGGTTGCTAAGTGATGGCGGGTAAACATTGAATAGAGGGATGAACACAGCATAGCTGGGTTTTTATGTGTTTTTAGCAACATAGTTACTGCCGAAAGCGCCCGTTCCTAAGTACATTTTCTACAGACATGCACACCATTAAGATCTTGGGACACTACACTTAAATGTTTGTCACCCAGGACAAAAAAAAACAAAAAAATTCACGTAACATAATCATTTAGTTAGCAATCATCTTCATTCCTTGTGTGTGTATTCTTACCGCCTATCCTCTCGGTGTCATAGTAAACATACTTGACAGTCAGTGGGGTGAACATCACACCAACAGTCTTTCCAGGCACACCCATCTGCGCACTGTGTGGGAGATGGACCAGCGCATTAAACACACTGTCTCAATCTTTAGCGGATCACACAGCAACAAAGTGTCAAAAAGACCAGCCGACCTGACGTAGGCGCGGATGCTCATCTTGCCACTCTGCAGCGCCGTGTCCATCGTCAGGTGAATGGGGTTGGTGGCCTCGCGGCTGTAGTACTCGTGGATGAGCACCGAGTGTTCTGTGATGTCAAAGCCGGTGGCGTACCTGTATGAAAAGACGCCACTGGGGTAAGATTTCCCTTCTCTATTTCAACCAGGGATATTTCCAAATGTGTTGAACTGACGCACCATCCGATGATGACCTCAGTGGGAGACACCCGCTTGTGGAGCTCGTACATGTTCTTTGCAAACTCCATGTCCACAGCAACCTGCCAGCAAAGAGGATCACGTTCGACAGATGGCCACTTCTTTACAAAACAGCTCCGCTCTTTTACAATGTGAGGCCGCCATCTAGGTTAACAAGTATTATTGTCTTCACCACTGATAAAACAGTACCAGTAAAAAGTTTAGACACTTTCTCATTCAACGAGAAAGTGTGTCCACATACATATTTCTGGGTTTCCCATTAATTAATTATATAGGGATTCTTTATCAACCACACAATTGTAATTCAGTACGAGTAGCCTAAATGTAAGTTACAAAGGACCACTACCCGAGAACAATAAATAGTTAAATTATTCATAAAGCATTTTTAATACCTCTAATTGTAACAGATCGATGCGTGCAGCTTTAAAATGTCTGACATTTAAATTAAGTGGGACATGCACACAGAACCTCACGAGGAGAGTTCAAAATAAAAAAAAGTGAAATATTTAAATACTTATTATTTACCATGTCACTGTATAAGGTTTGCCAATGTGATTGAATTGGCACGGTTTCTGCATTACAGCTCTCCGATAAGGCCGGCAGAATAATGTATAGATGTCGGACTTTGCAGAAATGACTCTGGCTACGTTTTCAGAAGCAGAGCTAATGTTCGATCGTTAGTAGAATGAGTTAAAGAACATACCTCATCTTCAGACTCGTTGTGCGGGACAGAGAAGCAGTTGGTCACCTCAATGGAGTGCTTGTCAACAGTTCCTGGAAAGGACAAACGTTAAAAGTTAGCCTTTAAAAAACGAGCTAACCGTCTAGCTAGCAAACAAGAGGATACCAAGGAGGCTAAAGTCTTAACGACCACAAAACACGGCAAACATCAACGGTCGGTAGTGGTTGTTACACGCCATATACCTAAAACAAATGTACAAGAAATAGTCGACGACTGAGCAGATAGCCTTTGTTCTAACCCGTGTTATCACTCGAGAGAACAGCCAGCTGTTAAACGAGACACTGCTAGCTACCCGTGTGGGGCTAGCTAGCTAGCAACTGCAGGGATGAACCGGGCCGACATGCGTTAGCAGGGAAGCTAACATTAGCCAGCTAGCCCGTGGGCCGTTTAATTCACACAACGGTCAACGGAACAAACGTCGCGTCTATCCGCTCACCCAACAGGGTCCCGATCACACGACTCGCTCCCTCATTTCTCCGCTCGTAAGAGTCGCAGATAGAGGCGAGAACGACGGGGTGAATTTTCACCACTGGCCCGGACACCGACATCTTGGAAAAGAAGGACTGAGGACCGGCGTCGGTGGACACATATACCTCCACCTAGTGGCCGGCGGCCGAACAGCGGCTCTTAATATAACGCTAATTAAAATGAAGTCACTGAGAGAGTGACAATTTAATGTGTGTCTGCATCGGATATCAGGAGAAGTAATTGTATTAGGGAAAAGGGGATATTAAGCAATGGAAACTAAACATTCATATATTTGCATTAAAACGAAACCATCTAAATGAGCTAAATTATACTGTGTCATTTTGACCGGACAGTACAGACAATGCATGTATGATATTACATTATTTTTAAACGCCTTTGCATCGTTCTCTGAGGGCGAAGATGGCTGTGTTATCGTAAGGGGAAGCATGAGGCAGGCTGGGCTGATGACAGCATCCTCCACCGCTCAGTGGCTCCACACCTGACCGACTCCATCAGATGCACAGATGATGGAGCTCTCTGCGCTGCCGGCTCATCATCCCGTTGCCACCATTTCGCATGTCCACCGCCCGGCACATGTTCTGCACAGGCCGCTCTAATTTCACCCCCATTGTTTGTTTTTGCCGGGGATTTTTGTGTGTTTTGCTGCTTTTTTTCTTCTTCACGGTCGTCCGTCGGACGCTGCGTGTCCCGTTTATTGTGCTGGGGGGTGGGTGGTGTGTGTGGGGGGGGGGGTTCGGATCGAGGTGGTCTTTGTTTCCCTCTTCCCTCCCGCGGAAGCCAACAGGAGCGGACGGACGCAGCGACGCTGGTAAACACCAGCGATGGGTGCCATCGATCCGAGGACGCCAGCCGCAGATTCTCCTTCTTCTTACGGCAACGCGCCTGTGGCACACCGAGCAGGTAAGACGCGGATGCTTCTCGGCGGTCTGACGAGGGACCCTCGAAGACAGCCTCCCGATAAGAGGCTATTTGTGATCCATCCATCAGGCGTAGTGCGTCATCCGGATTGTCCCCGGCGGTCTCCTCTGGCGCGCGTCCCCGCATTTGTCCAAAGGGACGTATGTCAAGCGAACGCGCTCCAAGAGCACGCGGGGTCCATTTTACTGTGCCATTAAATGCCGGAGACACTCCGCGTCTCAGTGTCCACAAACATACCGTGTTTCAGCTTCCCTTATTTATATGCCACTTATGTAAGAAATCCCAGCAGGCCTGCAGCACGAACCGGCCGCATTTAACAAAGCAGTAAGTGCACTTACACAACACGCACACGCGCACACACGCAGCCCAAGGCACTTTATGAAACATGCTAAATGCTGGAAGTGGCTCTACTACGCGTATGACAAAGTGCTGCGTGATTGAAGAGAAACCGATTTATTCTTCCGTCACTTTGTAATTTCAAAGGTGTAAAATTAGCCTCAGACCTTTGGCCTCCTCATTTGGCTTTTAAAAAGGAGCGAAGAGACAGGAAGTCAGATCTGTGTGGCGAGCGGCACAGAAGCTGCAGGCCCGACTGTCACGGTCCCAGTGAAATAAAGATGTCCAGGTCCTGTTTCCTTTCTCGTCGGTGAATTAGTGCGACGGCAGAAGAACTCATCGAGTTCACGACTTCATGTGACCGTTGTGTTCTTCTCCTTGTTCCAGGCTTCAGTCAAGCAAACAAATGATCCAATCAATAGCCTTTGGACATCAATAACCCGCTAATACACCTGACACACGCACGCACACGCCATGGCGCTGGAGAACTCGGTAATCGCCGCACGCCCGGACTCCCTCTCGCTCCCCGTGGAGGAGAAGGGGGACGCGGAGGGGGAAGAGGTGGAGGCCTCCGCCGAGGCCGGAGCCTTCGACCTGTCGGAGGAGCCGGGCCCCGTCGTCGCCTCCGCCGACCCGGCGCAGCCGCCCCCGCCCTTGGCCAAGGTCAGAAAGTCCTTCCAGAACAAGCTGCTGGAGCGAGAGGCCAAAGCCAACGAGCCCAGGAAGAAGACCCAGGGGACGGAGAAGGAGAGGGGGAGATTCGGCTGGGGTGAGAGACGGACCTCCTTTTCTTTACCGATAAATGTCTGTTCCGAGAGATGTGGAGCTTGTGACTGACTCTGCAGTCTAGATGTTCAGTTGTTGGCGTTGCGAGGACTCAACTTTATTCAGCTTTTCCTTTAAACCTCGTGTCTTGATAGGAGGAGTGGGAGGCGCGCTGATTGAAAGCCTGATTCCTCTCGTCGGGGTTAAAAAAAACAGCAAAAACTGAATTATTTTGCGTTCCACGCGCGTCAGCATCTCAATCCAAAGAGCGTTTAGGTTGTACAAGAACTGCAGCCCATCGCCGCAGTGTGTGTTGTTCGATGGCGTCGTCCCGTCTCACTTCGCTTGTAGACCGGCGGCCTCGTTCACGTCTGTGACGTATTCAAAAGGCTTTCGAAAGAGTTCCGATGCACCCGCCGCAGACTCGTCTTCACACCTGGTTTCGGCACAAAACACACCAAACTGCTGTCAGCACCACGTGACGCTTCTCCTCTGTCCTTCCCCCGCTGACCCCCCGCCGCCATCGCCAGGTCGGACGCGGCGCAAGCGCCAGCGCTACGTGGAGAAGAACGGTCGCTGCAACGTGTCGCACGGTAACATGCGGGAGACCTACCGCTACCTGACCGACATCTTCACCACGCTGGTGGACCTCAACTGGCGCTGCTCGCTCTTCGTCTTCGTCATGGCCTACGCCGTCACGTGGCTCTTCTTCGGGGCCATCTGGTACCTCATAGCGTACTGCAGGTGAGGGAGGCGGGAGAAGGCCTTCGGCCTGTGTGTGGATCGTCGGTCTGCTTGAACACGGCAGAAAGGATGAGTGAGCTCAAAATGCATTTGAGTGGAGCTGTGTGCTTTCTACGTAAATGAAAAGACATTTTTAGGATGTCATTCCCTTTTTTTCGGAGTTGGTATTCTGACTCTTATATCTGTTTGTTTAACCCGTACAAAAACTGGCCTCATTCAGAGCCGCGCTAGCTGTTTGCCCCCGTTTCCAGTCTTTGTGCTAAGCTAAGCTAACCTTCTCCTGGCCGTATCTTTTTTAATGAAAGGCTGATGTCAGAGACGTGTCGACCTTCTCATCAAACACAAGGGAAGAAAAGCCAAATGTCACATTTCATAAAAAATGGGACATTCGTCACTGTGCAATCATCCCGACACCACCTTTTTACTCGTTTAAAGATGGAGGAGCACCACCTCTCAGACATCTCTGAAAACAAAGCCTTGGAAAAAAACAGAATTTTCAGCCCAAACAGAGAAGCAGATGACAAAGCAGAATTAATGTCACCGCGTGTCTCGTCATTATGACGAGATGTGTCTACTGGATCCGCCGCCATAATTAGCTAACGTTTTCCTCTCGTAAAGAACGTGACCTCTTTGTATAAATTACAGGCCAACGCGAGCTGTGCCAGAGAGCTGTCGGTGTTATTGCAATCCCCCGGTACCAACACGGGTCAATAAAAGTCATATATTATGTAGACTACTTAACACCACTTTCATTAAGGAGCTCTCTCCCTCTGGCCGAGCTGTGTTAATCAGGACCATTATCCGGCGTAGCGAGTCGTTAGGAAGAAAAATCTGCACAGGACCGTTAGACCAGCAACAGTGAAGCAAGTGAGGAAGTAGTTTTCTGCAGCATCAACAAAAAGCATCAGGATTAATAATGGAAGTTGATGTGAGGATTACTTCTTTTTTATGGCGTTATATTTGTGCCACAATCCTGAGCGCGTAATTGTAAGTTTTGAGCACAGAGAACTATGTTGTAGCAAAAAAACACATATTCCGTGCGCGCAGTTTACTGAGGTGCCCTCGCCACAAACTGGTTTTCTGGGCGCAGGCAGCCGGTGCTGCGCTCTCTCCACGTCTTCACTCACGCGCTCGCTCGATTTACAGCAGCGTTACCAACCAACCAATCAGAGAATTAAAGAAGGTCAATTGTGATTGGCTGTTGGTCTCCAATCACAACGCTAGTAGAACTACCTACAGCATCGCAGAAGCTCAGCAAGTTGTTGAAGTTTGCAGCATTTGTGCTAAATGCTAACGGCCTGGATTAAAACACGTGCTGTTCTCATTTGCTTCGGTCATGTCTGATGGTGGCTAGCCGGACTTCTAATATCACTTTTTTTTTCGTCTTCTTTAGGAAGCGTTGTGATTGGAGACCAACAGCCAATCATAATTGACCTTCTTTAATTCTCTGATTGGTTGGTTTTGTGGCACAAATGTAACGCTGCTGCAAGTCTCTGTGCTCAAAACTTAAAATTACGCGCTCAGGATTGTGGCACAAATATAACGCCATACTTTTTCACCATCGGAATTAGCTGAAAGGATCATTTTTCTTTTTTCATATTTCTTCACAACCCTTCTAATAATATAACTCTTCTCGCTTTCTGTCTATTTTTGAACTGTCATTACACCCTCCCCCCTTTTCTCACATATTACCCCCCCACCCTCCTCCCCACCCTCTCAGGGGGGATCTGGACCATCTGGGGGATGAGACGTGGACGCCGTGCGTCAACAATGTCAACGGCTTCATCTCGGCCTTCCTCTTCTCCATCGAGACGGAGACGACCATTGGCTACGGCCACCGCGTCATCACCGACCAGTGCCCAGTGGGCACCATGCTGCTGCTGCTGCAGGCCATACTGGGCTCCATGGTCAACGCCTTCATGGTGAGCAAGGCCGCGGAACGGGGGAGTCATTGTCAGAAAGGTCAAAGGTTACTGTTATTGATAAAGGAGATTATTTCGCTACAAAACTACACTAACTGGGAGCAGATGAAACGCTGACCTAAGGATGAATAAACATTTACACATCAAAATGTGCCGGTGGAGCTTGAATTTTCCCAAGTAAGCACTTTGGATGAGCATGAATCCCACACGCCGAATCGTCTTTATGCACGTTAGCTGGAAACATGCCATGTTAGTTACTATTCTTATTAGATAATGGATCCGAGGTCAATGCGAGTTTCACTTCTGTGTTTTTATGGTGTTAATTATGCAACCACACAATTCGTTCACCCTTTAACCCTTTAAAGACGAGCGAGTCTTTGAGCGCTGTGTGTGCATCGCTGAGCTCTCACGCCCCCCGCCCCACCACCTCTCCCTCCCCCACCTCTCCCTCCAGGTCGGCTGCATGTTTGTGAAGATCTCGCAGCCCAACAAACGGGCGGAGACGCTGGTGTTCTCCAAACACGCCGTCATCTCGCTGAGGGACGACAAGCTCTGCCTGATGTTCAGGGTGGGCGACCTGCGCAGCTCGCACATCGTGGGGGCCAACATGAGGGCCAAGCTCATCAAGTCCAAACAGACGCAGGAGGGTGAGACTGCTTCTTCACCGTGTGGGGGGGGGGGGGGGGGGGGGGGGGCCGTTTTTACGCCACTGAGACCGCCCCAACGACCGCAGCACCCGCAGCTTCTTCCTGATGCTTCGGTTGTGCCTCTATGACCCAATCAGGAGGAGAGACTCACATCCTGCTGTGATGCCCCCCCCCCCTCCTCTCCCCCTCCTCTCCCCCCAGGCGAGTTCATCCCTCTGGACCAGACGGACATCAGCGTGGGCTTTGAGACGGGCGACGATCGTCTCTTCCTGGTCTCCCCGCTGGTGATCTCCCACGAGATCGACCTGCACTCCCCCTTCTGGGACATGTCGCAGTCCCAGCTGGGGAAGGAGGACTTTGAGATCGTGGTGATCCTGGAGGGAATGGTGGAGGCCACCGGTGAGGATCATGACGTTGTTATGAGTAAAGCAAACGTGAAGTTCAGTCGGCTTGAAGGAGATATTATTCATATCATTATTAAGCGTGGCGGTTTCGAATGAGGCATTCACGCGGTTGTTTGTTATGTTTGCGTATGAGAGACGGGAGGAGGAAATATGTGCGTTTGAGAAGCACTGTGCAGTGAATGATGAATGGAAAGTGACCAAAATAAATGTGGCTATATTTCAGTTACAAGCCATTAAAAAAAAAAAAAACATTAACAATGTTTTATCACCTTAAAGGCTCTCAGTGATTTGTTGTAGATTTGAGAAAAAATGTAAAAGTAAAACAACCGGACAGGATTGTTGTGTGGGGAATAACGCCTTTCAATTTAATTTGACTGTAAAGTTCTATGATGTAAATGCATCGTTTGGCCGCAACAACAAGTATTGAGCATTAGGAAGATTAATCCTGCGGATGCACACGACAGTCTGATACAAAACGTCACCGTTTCTCACGAACCCTCCAAAGCTGTCCATTAGAAAATGAAATTTCCAGAATGTCTGTGTTCATTTCTGCTATTTATCGTTTGAGAGCTCTCCAACTCTTCTGCGTCTTTGGGGAAGCTTTGAGAGCCTCGTGATGCTGCGATTACAGGGCAAATATTCATATATTTAGATACAAGCGTATTCAAGTGAGGGTGTTTTGTAATAGGAATCACAAGTGGAGCGTAATCGCTGGTCGGAGGGACGCGTTTGTGTCCTTCTGCTGCACGCTCTCAGGACTCAGCTGATTACTTAAGGAGCAATCTTCTGAAACACATCCAAGCATAGAGAGAAGGTTAAAGCAGCCAGAAAGAATCACGCGACTCCTCCACACCAGATAACGTGGCCCTCCCTGTGCCGTGTTTACCCCCTTTCTATTCACCTCTTATGATCTCATGAGTCAGATTCATTCTTGAGAGGACGATAAACTCAACTGATGCTCACGGTTTGGGCCGGAATTCAGAGCTTTGTGAATATCGGAGCGGTTCCACGAGGTAACGGTGGCCTCGCTGCCTACTCCAAATATTGATTCCCTGAGTCACAGTTACAAAGGAGGAGAAGTATTCATGTGAATCCTGTCGCTCGGGCTATTTCCTCTTTTGTATCACATCCCTTCGTGTGTGTGTGTGTGTGTGCAGGGATGACGTGCCAGGCGAGGAGCTCCTATCTAGCCGAGGAGGTCATGTGGGGTCACAGGTTCAGCCCGATGATGCTGCTGGCAGAGGGCTTCTTCGACATCGACTACGGAGCCTTTCATCACACGTTTGAGGTCAGGGCTCTGGAAGCTAGCAGCGTAGCGTAACACCTGCTCTTAATATAAGTACTTTGTATTATTCATTGTTTCATGTCTGTGAGATGACGGGCTCTGTAGTCACAAAACAGCTCCTCATAAATGTAAAAATACAATTTCCACTGCTCTTAAACAGTTTATCGGAGGAGGCCCACACGAGTGTTTGAGTAAGTTGTTGGTCCCTATTCCTGTCTCCACCTACATGTACATCGGAATTCTCACGCTCGTTCTCACGGGGATGTTGAGAGGCATTCTGGGAAATACAGGAAGTCGGACTGCAGTATTTATTCCGTGATTATTTTGGAAGGGACATAGCATGGACCGATGCCACACATGAACCGTGACTATCTCCAGACGGGCTTTTATACAGACAGTAACAGCAGAACAACAAGAACAACGTGCGTAGAATAGAATAGAAGAAGCACTTGGTCCCACGTTGCTGCACGTTAGAGCTGAGTTTAAAGTGAATCATTAATTAATCCTTTTGTCTTCTGTGGGGGAGCTGATCTCCAGAGCAGGTTCTCCTCGGCGTTATGGGCGGTGCAGGTGGAGCAGAAAATGAAATCTTTCTGGGGGAATACACCCGTAGGTTTTCTCGCTCGCTCGCGAGTTAAGTGAGCAGATTGATGCCGCTCTCACATCCGATATCTCTGTTAGAAGGTGATAAAAACTCCGCACCGGGAGCAGCGACCTCCTGCAGTCTGATCCCGATCCTCCCCGTGTGTCATTCAGGGCAGCAGATCGAGTCCAACTCCACTTCAGCTCGTTAACCAGCACACAATCTGGACTCAAAGTAAAGCGCGTATGGGACCCAGTACAGTCGCTTCGCACAACCGGGGCTCCGTGTGCAGAACAGGGCCGCGGGGCGGGTCTGGAACCGGCTGGGACGGGTGTGAACCAATCAGAGCGGTTGGGATTTGTTACCTTTAGGCAGATCCAGACTCGCTGTCTTTACACTAAGCCCACATACTAAATCTCAGTGAGTGGGCCCTCGTTCTTGCCACCTTAGCAATGCTAATCCCTTCGCTGAGTGGCCGCCTGACCGACTCAACCCGTTTCGTTTCCCCTCCTCCAAGGTGGACACGCCCCCCTGCTCGGCGCGGGAGCTCTCGTTGGCTGCAGCCCGGCTGGACGCTCACCTCTACTGGTCCATCTCCAGCAGGCTGGACGAGGAGCCCACCCTGGCCAACCAGGCGGCCGAGCCGCCGGACAGCGGCTCGGCTGACGGCAGAGGAGGGGAGCCCATCTTCATCGTGGGCGAGATGACGGACATCCAGGAGCAGACGGGACTGGGCGAGCTGAACGGCTGCGTGGCCACCGACCAGTCGGAATCAGAGGCCTAGGGCGGACAATGTTTACAGACCTTCAGTTACTCACCACAAGTTGTGTTTGCAAAGGTTTTCTTTTAAGGTTTCATTAGGTCCAGCTCTACGGAATGTTCCATATCTTCTGTTACCATACGGCAGCGTCTATTTCTTGATATTTTGTCTATTATTTCTGTTGATCTTAGTTACAAGTGTGCCACGTGTGTGCTATCTTTCTTTCTAGGGGGGGTTCTTCAATCTGTGTTGTTAGCTCCAATCACCTTTGCCTATATTTACATTTAAATGAGAAAACTATGCTTTAGTTGGAGTCAACAATAGTTTATCCTGTGGACCACGGCGGAATGTCCAGAGAAGATGACACGGTGGTTCTTTGTGCAGAGGATTGTTCACATTTAAAATAAGTGCCGTGCATAGATGCTTTATCTTCACCTGCGCATGAATATCACTAGATGATATCAAAGTATAGATGGGATTGTTGTAACTTCAAATTCCTTCAGTTATGAGGTTTATTGTACATGAATCAGGTGTTAATAATAGGGGGTGAAGTAACATCCCACATCTGCTGGTATATCTGTAGAAAAACTTCATTTGGCATCAAACCATCAAGTGGTGTGAGAAACAATAAATCTATATTCGGCTGATAAAAGATTATAAAGTAGCCAGAGCCGGTTTCCTGCCCTGGGTGGAAACAGTTTGTTATCTTGTTTACGAGCAGAGTGTGTAGTTTGTTTTGAAGTGGGGTTGTAAGAAGGACTTAGTAATAGTCAGCGTACTTCCTACAGTAGGTAACAGACCCGAGTACCAGCGCGGGAGCAAAGCAATGTACTTCTGTGGACGCCAGGAGAAAGTCTTTTAAACATCAGTTTAAGTGTCGTCCATATTTGGAATGTTTTCACGGCTGATTATCTATTCCCTCTTCAAAGCCACAAGAATCCTCTGACAAAAGAATCATAAGTAAACCCTTTAAAACAGTCACACGATTAGACAAACTAAGCTCAAACTCGGCATTCTGCAAGATAAAAGTGCTGTTTTTGTGGCTTTGAAGAGAGAAAAGGTAACTCCTTAATTTCTCGTCATAAAGGGTCGTCTGGGGGAAATATTATTAATGTAAGTTAATACATTTCATTATTTATAAGGTGTCTTTCAGCTGCTCCTGTGCACTACTCCTCAAACTACACTGACTGTGTATAAGTACCTCACACAGTCCCGCTTCAAAAGGCCTGGACTAAAATCCTCCTGGAGCACCGGAGATGAAACCGGTGAGGTATATATATATATTCTATCTATATATATATATATAGGCAGGTTTCCCGTGCAGCACAGCAATTATCTTATCTGTCTTCTGTTCCCTGTCGGGTAGAAATGAAAATGAAAACTGTCCTGCTCCGTTTAGTCCAAACCTGCTTCTGCTGCTGTTTAGATACGTGGCCATTTTTCCTCAATGTTTTTAACACGTAACACAACACATCAACTAGAGTTAATAAACTGCAGTATATTACAGAAAGAAACGTGTATGTGATACTTTTTACCTCTCTACATAGTTATAACAGGGTTATTCGAATTTTTGTTAAACTACTCAATTGTATATAAAGACAAAATTAGCATGACTCCCACTAGCTGCATCATTAAAATGCATAAACCTCATTACTCAGCTGTAATAATAAAAATGTATATAATACAATCACAGGGACAATGGTAATGAAGTATAAATCGCCGTTTTTCTTCTTTAAATTAAGTACACCTGAATACTTTTCAAGACTAATAAAATACAGAAAGTCAATTAGTAGCTGGTTTTAGAGAATTTAATTTCTGCTGTTGAAGGTGATTAATTAATTACTGATTCATAAATGAAGATAGACAGAAAGTTATTGGTCGTTATACTAAAGAGACGACACAGTAGTACACAAGTTATTATGTTAGTATGTAAAGAAGACCTGCACCATAGACCTCTACCAAATTACCTCAACTCACGTATTTGTATGTAGTACAGTACAGAATTATAATAAGTGCATTAATGAAGATTTACTTGTGTAAAAGTACACAGGAAATACAACAAAAAGTACTGCATTACCTTTTTAAAAGTAGAACTACATACAGTACTTTTGGCAACAAAGTGTACTTAGAGAGTAGTCGTACTTTTTGTTTTCCAGAATGGCCCATTTAAGTTATTATTATATAGCATATCAATTATTGATGTAAACACATAAAAGCACCATTTCAATATTGATTAAACAGCTGCTGCTGTTTACAACTTGTATATAAAGGTAGATTCACCAATGCTACATTTCAGAAGCAGAATATGACGCGTAACTAAAGCTTTCACGTACATCTGCTGTAGTGAAAAACACAATATTAACTAGCGTTCAATATAGAACATTTACGTAAACCTCAAAACTGCACATGAGTTCATTTCTTGAGGGATCGTAATTCCCACCAACGGTTTTAGATCAATCTAACAAAACAACGTGTTTATGATCTATCTCTATTGATGTATCGCAGTGTGATAAAAAGCGGTATATTTCTGCTCAGCCACAATCTTAAACTGCATTACCCCCCCCCCCTCCTCATTTTGTACAATAAATTACTGATGGTTACTACTTGACTAATGGCCCATAGTGAAGACATATATCAGAGCCCTGCAGTGTGCTGTGTCTCATTACAAATTCCAGGCTGGGATCTCGGCCCCAGGAGAAGTCAGCACATTTGGTTACCAGGCAGAATCGCGTCTTTGGAAAAAAAGGGAAACAAACATCAAACGTCTTTCTCCGACTTGGCTGCTAGATGGCGTCAAAGATCCCGCGTATCTTCCTCCAGCCAGTCGGGCCCGATTGGTGTGTTATGAGACGGGGTCCCCTCTCAGCTGTCTCCTAGGCAACCAGGGCTGGGGACAGGGAGAGGGCAGAATGTGTGCGTGTGTGTGTGTGTGTGTGTGTTGATGTGGACCCTCACAAGTGATGGGGGAGTTTAGGCGGCTCAGAGAGTTGATGTGACCTCACAGTTTGGTGTTTGTGTACGAGTGGAGGAGGCTGACGCACTGCAGTGACCTTCAGCTGGGAAACACGCCGTGCCCTTGACATTGAAGGCGCGAAGGGTATTCAGGTGTATTTTGTTGTGTCTTACGCGTCACAGTAAAACAAATATCACATAGATATAGATATGGAGTTCAGGCATCTGAACAAGTCCCATGACGTCTGTGGTACGAAACCAGCGCGTCCGACGTTGAGCGAGACGCCGCAACCGGAAAACAGACGTGCGATGTTCGGCAGCGAAAGGCTAAGTGTGAGTTTAATAGTTTCCAGTGATTTTCGGCTCGCCCCAGAGTTGAACCCCGTGAGCCATTTCCACGGTGTAATTACGATTTTAATGATAGGCTGTTTTGCATGATCTCCGCTGAGCCAAAATCAATGTTTCTCTTCATGGAAGGAAGTCATGGCGGCCTTTTAAAAATAGAAGAAGTCCCTACGTCACACCGGACCGCCAGTTACTCCAAGTTTGTTTGATTCTCAGTCAGGCAAATGGGAATCATTATGGTAATAAAATAAGACATTAAACATTGTTGTTTAGAAGACGCTCAAATCAATATTTGGTAACTAATGATGGATTGACCGGACTGTGTTATGTGAAATGCATCTCTCATTGTGATGAACTCTGAACACAGAATTATCATCAGCTCTACGAAGCGTTATATACTGTATATCATATACACATATTTCTTATTTCTCTAGATATTTACAACGGGGTTATCCGTGGTCACAAACACCGTGCCACCGACAGAGACTACGTTGAGAAACGCGAGCATCTTTGAATCAACCCCGTGTTCGTCAGCCCGTTGAGCAGCTTGAGGCCGCGGGCGCCGCCGGGTGTCTCGGTACAGGCGGCGACCGGGCTAGCTGGTCGCTCCGACGGCAGCTGTCGCAGGAGTCCCTTTTAAACGCTCGCCCTCCATTTACAATGTGTAGACATCTGTGTTTATTATCCACCAGCCACCGCGGGCGGATTCCATAAGCTGACACATCTGTTGCTCTGAAAGGGTTGTGATCCAGTTGGAAATGTGTGGAACTTGAATCTGACGTTGCAACAACCAGACATTTTGATTCACAGTTTCAACCAAATGTTTGAAGCTCACTGACTCGTCTGGATGGCTGGTCGCCAACATTGGACACGCAGATCTTTGGTAACGAAGGTGAGGAAAAGGGACTACAGCACCTTTTTAGAACACACAGTTAAACAAAAAATAAATGGGGTCGATGAGAACAACGAGGAACGAGGAGATCAAATATCAAACAATTCAGGCCTCTCAGTTCCTTATATGTAATTACCAAGCAGGTTTAATTGCCAGGTGTAGTTAATAGCCCTCGCAGCTGCATTTAAACCAATTGCAAATGATTTTTGCGGTTACAAAAGTTCACCTCCTGTGTGTGCAATGACTTCAGCCTCACGTTCACCTCCTGGTAACAGATCGCATCGAAGCAGCATGTATGGAATCGTTTTAAAAACAATACTCAAAGACTCCCACCCATCCTAGAAGAGGCCCCACACTTCCACACGTCTGTGGAAGAGCCGAACCGATGTAGGTGTTCGACCACCCAGTGCAATATGCAGCAGGCGACACAGCCACACGGCTAAAAGGCCACGCGGCTAAAAGGCCACACGGCTACGGCTTCGCCCGGACGGAGCGGTTCTACTTCGTACGGCCTCGGCAGTCAAGATACGAAGAACAGACTCTTTCCGAGTGCTTCTCCACCCACGGTCACGTCAAGGTGATCCACATGAAAACCAGAGATGCCCCAAATAGACGCGTCATCAAAAAGTGAACGCCACGGCTTCAAGACGGCAACATTAGCACCAAAAAAACTGCCGATCAATAATTCAGTGTCTTTATTCCACACATATTGACCCTCTTGCTTCAGGCGGTCGAACTCAAAAAGCAACACTTAAGGGCTATAAGGTCCAAACGAGCTACGTTGCCATAGGGATGCGTCCGTGTTCAGCAGGTATTACTCAAAGTGACCAGACTGTAGCACTGGGTCACCCGTAGGCGGACGTCTGGGACCTGTGGCCCCCTCACTCCTCCGAACGAGGGATCCCTCATAGTGCAGCATGTCACAGTTGGCACGGGAAGGCCCGAGTCCGGCACATTTAATTAGCCAAGCTGCCTTGGCGTTGGATGGGGAGGAGGGGGGGGGGGGCACAGTGACGAGTCATCAACATCACCAAGGGCGCGGCGCTGTCCGCTGCCACACCGCATGTTCAAAAAGTTCAAGAGGATGGGAAAAGAGACGCATGGGTGTCGATGTAGACACCCGTCCCTGGGGGAGGGAGGGGAGTTCTTCATTGGAACAATCAGCTGCAGCAAAAAAAAAAAAAAGGAAAAGTGGGAGCCAGCGGAAACACAGGTGCGTTCCTCACAGGTTTTCCCGCACCGATCAAGATGAGCACACCTCGCTGCTCCGCACCGCCGGCACGGTTATCATTCCAGTCAATATGCCACATTGAATGAAAATAAAGGAATCGGTTGGGGGGGGGGAAAAAAGACTGTTGCTATGAAAAAAAAGAAGCGAAGTTAGGAGAAACAGTTTGGAAGAAACCATTCTGACATCCCTCTCTGCAAGCCGCATGCATGTGAGGGAGCCCACCCCACCTCAGCTGTAGCGAGGAGCGCAGGCAGCCAGCAACCAGCGCGTCTCCGCCTACCAATAGGCATGCTCGGCTCAGCCTCCGTGCACGGCTCAGTCTCAGCAGGGAACGCTGAGCGCAGGGGGAACTGCGACGGCCGCGCCAAGCATCTTCCCAGGTATGCGTCTCTCTGCCATACGCCCTTATTCCGATATGTGCATGCGATGCTACGGCACCCCGCCGCATGTCCCCCCGCTCTGCACACCCCGGCGCCTTTCTAGGGAGGGGTCGCTGAGTACCTTTCTTTTTTCTTTTTTTTTTTTAAATTAGAATTTCCCGTGCGGCTCACGCAGCGCAGGGGCAGCGGGTAAACACTCACAGTGAAGACGCAATCTGCGTGAAAAAAAAAAAAAAAAAAAACCAACAACCCCCCCAAAAACGCACCTCCTCGTTAACCGCGCGTCAACTTGCACACGCGCGCACACACCTAAAAACGTTCGCCCTTCGACAGATCCGCCGCTGTTGCGCTGCGTGCATTTCTTGGGGGGCGGCGGCGGGGGGGGGGGGGGGGGGGTTCCGTTTTTTTTTTCTTTGCAACGCGGTTATGAATTTGGCTTTGGTCAAAACATGACCGCAGCTGACTGTGGGCTCAAGTTGCAGCGCGTGCAGGTAGAGGGTTTTTTTTTTTTACTGGTAGGCGCGTGGACTTGCGGTATTGGGCGAAGCAGGTATTGGGAGCCGATATGGAGAAGAAAAAAAAAAGAATAATTTCACAGCAGTCAATTTTCCGTAGGCTGAGCCATATCACACTGCGGTCGGCTATAGCCTGTGGTATAGGTCGCACTGTATGCATGCATGCACGGGCAGATATAGCGCTACAGACCGTGATGCATTATTGATAGCTGTGTGTTATGATACGACGGATCTGTTTCACATCATCATTCATTCATACAGCAAGTATGAACTGATGCACAAAGTCTTGCTGTAAATGGGCTGCAGCTGCAGCTTTTGGTCTGGTCGGTGTGGATGGAGAGCTCTGCTCCCCCTGTCACTAGGTAGGATGTAGGTACACTCCCTTGGCAGTTAGGGTGGTGCTGCCTCTGCTAGTGCTGATGTGGTACAGTGGCCACTACCTGTGCATGCAGCAGCGAGGCCTGGCTGCACATTGGGTGGGGAGGGAGGAGGGGGTGGGGGGGGTGTTCAATTAAACTAAACCTCTGAAAGTTTAAAATAAATTCATGATCCGACTTGCAGAGGTGAAGTTGTTGTTTCTTTCCGAGGGCAGCAACTGGAAAGTTATAAAAAAAAAAGGGAGCATTATCGGCCGATGAATGACCTCGATAGCAACTTTTACAGCAGCTGACCTCCCTGTTAGTTGTCCTCACGTGCACTAAACCATCCCGTCTCTCAGCGGATCAATCACGTGCGTGTGAGAATCTGCGTAGTAATTATTAATGCTACTTTTGTTGTTGCTATGCAAAAAAAAAGGAGGAGAAAAAAAGGGGCTCATGTGCTACATTTTCCACTGCAATCATTTGAAGCTGTGACCTTGTCAAAGAGGGGCACCGTGTGTGTCTGTGTGTGTGTGTGTGTGTGGCTTTGCGCTGGTTCTCTATGATCAAACTCTGCGTTTAAGAGGAAGCCACTTTTCCGTACTGGTGTTGACCATCTCGGATTTGGCTATTTCAAGAAGCCCTCGGGTTGATTTTTGCTGCATTCGCCTGTTCGGTCCACTCAAGAGACGGGAATAGTTGGAGGACTTAGACCTCAAGAGCCCCCACTTTAGTCTGCTGTTTTCCCCAATGCTGTATTCATGTTACCTGGCTAATCTATTTCCACGTGTGCCTGGATGGTGTGTGTGGGGGGGGTCAATTGGACGGAGGTTCTCTGTTGAGCCGTTGTACACGTGGAACGCATCAATGACCTCAAGGCTGAACCCAAAGTGTTGCAGCGAGTCGTCCGGTGGGAAACCAGCGCCCCACTGCAAAGTGGGTAAAGTTATGGAGTGAGAAATGTTAAGGTCACCTTGAGGTCAAGAGAAAAGAAGGGAATCTTTTTACCGAGTTATTTGAACAAATTGGTCCTTTTGTATACTGTTTTTTTCGTCATTGTTGTAAATGGAGCATTTCTTGCTTTACTCTTATCTTTTCAAACAATCAGTTTGTGAGCAGCAACAAATAGAAAACGAATCAGCGGCTGTTTTGTTTGTCAATTCATTTTAGTGCAAAATATTGGTTGGTTTCAGCTTCTCATTACTGTTTGCCTGTATCTTTGTTATATATGTTATTAAATGAAATATGGCTCTGTTTTGGGAGGCGGCAACACAACAAGGCGCATAGGGATGTCACCTTCAGCTCCGTCTGATTACATTTATACCAAACAGTGACATTGTGACAATTATTGGCCAATGAATAGATTTGGAAGTTAAGAGATAGTTGCAGCGCTCGTCCAGTTACTGTTAACCTATTATTTTTAGTACTATTTCTAGTAGTATGTTAGGTTTAATGTAATACCTTCATTTGAAAGGTTTTCTATATATATATATCTTTTTCAATTTAATACATTTTTGGTTTACATTACAAACATTTTGAGTGAATGTCATCTTTCTACATTGTGTTATCCATTCATTAATTATGAAATGTGCATGAATGGGGACAGAAGCAAGTCCCATATTAGCTTGTTTAAATGTAAAAGTTAGTTTTTGAGATCCCACTTGTTGCTCCTCGTAAACAAACTTGAAACCAGAACCAGAAGCCCTCGGCTGATGAACTTCCTGGTCTTTAGTACTATTAGGTAGTGATTGGGTCTTTCACATGATCCCCAACCTGGTGTATGATCTGATTGCAGGGTAACAGATGGAGTATTGCAGGTATTTGTAAGTTTCTTTTACCACTCGCATCTTTGATTCAACGCTGCCCTTTAAATCACACCGACAGAATAGAAATGAATAGCGGGCCACTTTTCAAATTATTAGCCTAAATGCTGACGCTGGCAAAGCCTGTGATCAGCGTCTTCCTGTTGATTCTGTTAGTCATAAACCATCCGCTGTCATCTGCAGGCGGGACGGACTGTTATAGCCACTCATTAATATGACACACAGGGGGGGGTCTGTGTTCTCAAACAGGAGACTCCTCACATCATTAAACTGCTTTTGTTTCAACTACTTGTGCGTTTAAAACGGGAATTGAGTAGGAAGATAGAAAATTAATCAAATTGTTTTTGATTTGAGGAAAAAGTTTTCTCCATTCCGTTTCTTTTCTCTGCCATCTGTGATTGTTAACTGAATTTTTTTGTTTTTTGGAAAGTTGGTTGAACCAAACGAGCAATTTGATGACATTCTCCTGGCCTTTGGGAGGGAAATGTGACGGGCATTTTTAAACTATTGCTACAGGCTTCACAGACCAGACACATAATCAGATAACTGTCACTAATCGTGAGATTAATCAGTGATGAAAACTTATATCATATTATTAAAACAGTGTTGGCAATTAGATTCAGACTTAGATTTACGTTTACTTTAGTCACAGATACATCCAATGTAATAAAAGTAAATTAAATAGTGAATTAATGTTATATTTTGTTATCATTTCAACTTGACTTTACTTTCTGCAAAGTCCGTATGTTATAAATCAGGAGCTGAATCACTACTATTAAATGTACCATATTTTTTCCTGATACCATTACGACTATGTATGGCGATACAGCACAGAAATAAAAGGCCAGAATATGTCCTCTGCAGTCATTTCTGTCGAAGAATATATGCAAAATGTGCTGGAGGAGATCAGACATGGTTCTCTTTACTTAATGTTGGGGAAGTTTTGAGATTATTGGCGGCAGACGTTGATTGGTGCAACTGTCAGGGGAACAATAACTGATTAATTACTAGTCTAATTACTGATGACTAATGTTACTCTGAAAACCTGCTTCTATCAAGGTTAAATCAGATCTCTGACTGAACATTATCTGAGATAAAGGGGGGAGAAATCGTTGTTCAGAGAGGTTTAATAGATGGGAACAAGCGATGGGTTTGAACAGTTGAGAAAGATGACCTAAAATGTGTCTTTGGGAAGAAAGAAGGGCGAGGCTGGATTAGGAACTAAAGCCACGCTCAGGAAAGTAAAGTGCACTAAAACATAGGGTGCCTTCAATTCTGCGGCGTTGACTTTTATAACGGAAGACGTACATAATGTCTGCACAAATGGCTGTACCATGTTTAGCAAATGTTCATGTTTAATTTAGGACAACATTCCCCACGCTGGCAAACGCCCTAACACATCTGGAGGTGCGACACAAACTGCTGCATCTTCTGACGTATGCTTGCGTGTTGAAAACGGCACGTCCGTCGACGAGAGGTGCATGCAGCAATGATCTGTTCACGTGTTCCCTCTTCGCTCCCCTGTCCTTCCCTCAGTGATGGCCTCTGCTGAGCAACCGTGCTCCAGCTTGCACCAGCGGCTCTGCACATAAGGAACACACCCGCGTTTGCCCTCCCGCCCAGAAGTGAGAGAGAGAGACAGACGCCACCATGTACAGCGTGGAGGACCTCCTCATTTCTCACGGATATAAGTTGCCCAGGAGCGGCCCCCCGTCTGCCGCGCCTTATGACAAGCGCCCCGCTGACTGCCAGCGCGACCTCGTGGACAACAGGGCTGGCCGAGGGACGCTGAACGGGTATGAGGCCGACCGCGGGGCGTCTATCACGGGCCTCTACGGCAGCAGGCAGGCACTGGTGAAGGGCTACCCCGCCGCGGACATCGAGGGCGGGGAAAGGATCCTGAGGAGGAAGGAGCTCGGCATCGGTATCCTAGGTGACGCTCAGCCCTTGGGCGATTCTCTGGCCACAGATAGTGGGTGAGTGGTTTTATTGTTTGTATTGCCCCTCTCTTTTGCGATCCCCCGCACCCTTTACCTTCTCCCACCCTTTTCTCACTGGGGCCCTTCGGTATTGCATGCAAACTGAGTCTGCACTGCGCAGGTTTTTTCTCTCTTCCTCTTCCCCTCCTTCCAGAGCTGCAGAACACTATGGCTGCAGCAGCACCACTGACACATCTTATGCCGGCATATGAGGAAGTATGGAAGTATGAAAAGTGCCTTCGCATTGGTTTGAGGTGTTTACATGCCTGCTCGCCGGGGGAGGGAGGTGGGGGGGGCTCGAGTCTCTGCGGATCCCAACCCGAGCACCGGTATCGTCTCCACAGCCAGACAGGCAGATGTAAACAGCAGCACTAGACAGCGAGCAAACTGAGGAGCACTGAACATGCCTCAGGACTGGCGCGTAATCACTCCACTATAAACACTGGCACACTGAATCCCGCCGAGCACGTGCTCTGTGATGTAAGCATGTTGCTGGGCAAGTGTGCACAGCGCGGCCCCCCTCAGCCATACAGTAGCATATGCTGCTGACGATGATCCGTTGACTTTGCCGCCTAAATGAATGAGTGTAGTGACTAACGCAGTGAGTTGGAGCAGTGTGCAGATATGAGTCCGCGCTCTTAAAAAGGGTTATTGTAATACATTTTTAGTTATTTTTATTAACTTGATATTTTGCTAACTTAAAGTGGAAAATGCATTAATTAAAATTTTTACGGCTAGATTTCCATCATTTTTGTCTTATGTAATTGCAAATAATTACCACATTATGTGGTTGTCGCATAAGTATTAACTAGCTTGAGAAAATATAATTAATCATTTATTATTATTTTTTGAAAGACCTGATGGTTACGTTTGACTTTCGACTCTCTCATTCCAAGTGTCCGTCACTAGGGGGGCTTAAAACACGGTTGGATGTGACTGATGACCTTTTAATGGATATCCGTTCTACTACACAAAGAAAACACAACCACGTGAAAAAGAAATAATAAATCTGAAAAAAAGGGAAGCTCTGTTTTTGTAGACTCAATCTGCTGAGATTATTTCTAAAATGATTGTGTTGTCAGAGCAATATGCATTACAGCCATATGCAGCACCCAAGAGGTGCATTTGGGAGCCACAACTAAAACTGTCTCCAGGCGGTGGAACCGCTGTTTTGAGCCTGGCAAAAGCCCTCGTCCCACACAATGTCAAAAGGACCTTTCTCTTCAGATTTTTCTCTTTTATTATGATTCATTGAGACAGGGAAGCACAATGCCAGAAATGTTATATTAGAATCAGTTAATCGGAGGGGGAAAAACTTTCTTTACAAGACAAATTCGCTGTCCAGATGACCAGTTTACAAGATAAGGTCAGCACAATTAATATGCAGATCATATTGCAGTAGAATCAAAATTCCATGGCTTCTTCGAGGAACTTGGGAGCTGCTGACTTAAGCACTTCTGTCTCATATTTGCTGGCTCTCCTCGACTAAGTTGCATTGGAGAGTCAACCCTGCCAAAGCCACAATACATGCCTGACATAGACATCATTATTGAGTCGAAAAAATATATCATCAAAGAAAGTGAGATAAAAGAAAGATTTTTTTTCGGGAAACTTTTTGGTGTTTTTTTGTTTTTTTTGGTGTATAAACCAGAAAACTGTCAATCTTAAGGAGAATATTGCCTTTCAGACCCTATTCTATTGTTTGTCACTCAACTCACATCTGTTTAGCTCGTGTCTTCACACCTCACTCTCATTCTGTGACACTTTCAATCTCTCATTCACGCCAAACTTTTCTGTCCTTGCAGGTTCTACGATGTTCCTAGTTTGACTTATTCAGAGTCGCTGAGCCACGACGAGAGGGATGTTTCCTACTGGCGGAGGCGAGGTCAGGACTTTAGTATCCTCCTGGACTATGCTGATGGCAGGGAGCTGAGGGCCTCGGCTGGCGCATGGAGGCCACAGGCCCTGATCGCAGCAGAGGAACACAGAGCAGAGAGGCAAGCGCAGCAACTATGGGAAGACATTTCCTGGCTAAGGGACCTGGATGCAGCCCCTGGTCAGCTAAGGGTGACTGGAGAGAGGAAGTGCCAGAGCCTCGGTACAGAGGAGTGGAGGCCTGCTGTGGGCCTGGGAAGGCAGCTGTCCGATGGGGACGGGGACAGGTGGGCTCAGGACCAGTACCGTCTGAGGACACCTGAGGGTTTTTTTCACCCAAGAACTAAGGCAAAGTCTCAGTCTCTCCCCAGAGTTTTGTCACCCGATGGAACTGCCAGCAGGGAGCTTATTCCCTCCAGGCCGAGCCTTCCTGATAGACAGAGGATAAGCAGCACTGTCTTCTCTGGACCCTATAGTAGGTATATCTATAGTGGTGCTGTTGTCAGGGACCGGTGGGGTAGGAATGCAGGGCCAAGCAGCCATGTTGCACTTTTACCAAAGCCCAGGTTCAGCAGGCCTTTAAAGCCTCCGTCTTATGAGATTCACCAGCAGACTAGGGGTAGCGCAGAAATGCTCGCTATAGAGCAAGGTGCCAAACAAAAAGAAAGGCCTATCTACTATCCAAGGGGTGGGGAGCTGAGACAAGACTATTTCGCACAACACTCCCTCACTGGAATGGAGCCCCCGGGCTACATCCCACCCCCATCTTATAGAAGAGGCCCACCCCCGAGAGCAGTTTCGATGAACCGCAATGAAATGGCAAACCTAAGATGGAGGGCGGAATCTCTGCAGATGCCCCACTCAGATCCTGGAAGGTGGTTTTACAGACAGGCAGGTTCGTGGCTGGAACATTACGGAGCCCGCGCTGCTTCCTATAGAAAACTGCTACATTCTGGACACGAAGAACAACCAGGCCATGCCCGTCCATTACCCTCCGAAGACCCAAGAGTGAAGCAAATCTCAGGAGGGCCTTGCGGAAATTCTCTCACTGACACTGACAAGATCCGTAACGTCAACAAAGACGTTCTGCCCGCTAAGATATTAGGACAATCTACACATGATAGTGCCTTTCCTCCCCAACAGGGGTCAGCTCTCAATATCGACACCCGCAAAACAGCTCTCACTGAGAACGACAGCAGTAATCGATGGTGCAACAGGGGATTAAACAAAAAAAGTGAAAGCGTAGGGCCTGAACAAAACCGCAGTCAATTTTTTCCTTCGTCTATTCTGGGTAAACCCCCACCTCCCCCATGTAAGCCGGCCGACCAGGGTGTCTCCGAAACTGTGACTGAAGTAAAAAAGGTGGAACTGTCTGAACCACCAGAGAAAGACAAATCCAAGAATCTGAAAAAGAGACTTAGCGAAACAATTTTTTGTTTGGTGTCTGTACCTGTTACTCCAGTTACCACTGGAACAATCCGGGATCAGAATAACAACAATGAGAAGTCACCAGACCCAGCGGACAGTCCAAGTGACAACAAAACTGGCCATTTAACAAACCAAAGTCTCCAAAGCACATCTTCAGCTGAAGCTGAGTTGCAAGCACTTACTGGTAGCATAGCGAGCAGCAAAACAAGTAGTCGAGCGAGCAGCAAAATGTTTAAAAAAGTACCCTGTAGACCCCCTAAAATAAACCATTACAAGGAGATGAAGCTGTCGGGAACGTGGCCTGCAAACCAGTATAGAGACCAGGAGACACAAACTAGCCCAGAGGTCCAAAAACCTGACTCTGAAAACAAGGAAGCACAACAAGACCCTGTCCCTCCTGGTACTGAAATCCCTCCTGAAAGCAGCGGTGTAGTGGGCACAGGCTTCAGCTTTCCTATAAAGGGAGTGAAGAGCCTGAAACTGTCAAGCAACAGCGCCTTCTCCCTAACCGCCACCTTCTCCAACCAGCTGAACAAGAGCACAGCTCAGCAGCCAGCAGTACCACCCTCAGGAAATGTGGAGGAGACCAAACCAGCAGCAAGTGGTGGGCAGGAGCCATTTGAGCAGTTACTGCTGAGACCAGCCAGCCAGCGCCCATGGGATGCTGTCAAAGAGCTGGAGACCATCAAAAAAGAGGTACAGGATCAAGAGCAGCAGCAGCAGGAGCAGAGCAGCAAACAGCCCAGTGTTGACAAGTGCATAGAGGACCTCAACGAGGCCTACAAAGACATCTTGGAGCTAGGCACTGCCAGCAATAAAGTCCCAAACGGTTCTGTTCAAATCCCTGAGCGTATCAAAATCCGATTGACATCAGAACCTCTCAACAAACCCAGCAGCCTTAGGCGCAGTGCAGTCAGCTGGTCTGTTGACCCAGAATACAGGGAAGTCAAGAGCGCCTTCTCCAGGCCCGCAACAAAGTCTGTGACCTTCAGCAAGCAACTTAGGGAGGAGCTTCCCGTCCCACCTCGGGAGACAGGTTTCAGAGAATACAGGGTTCTAACGCATCTTTCGCGCAGACGGAGCAACGACGGCAGGACAGTGAAACTGGACCTGCCAGATGAGCCTATTGAGACACCACTTTGCGACTTCAGTCCGACAACCAGCACCGCAGCAGCTGAGGTGCCGTGGGCAGATAGGCAGCCCATGCAGGACGCCTCTACGCTCACCAGTCCTCCCGATTATGAGGACATATGCCAGACTTTGCGTCACCCCAGAGACCCGGCGGACGGCAGCAATGCGGCCGCAGGCCATATTAGATCTAATGGCACCGGGACGCCTCAAGATCTCAGCGCCGAATCAGAGGAGGATTGCCCTATTTGTAAAAGAGAGCTGGAGAATCAGATGAGACAGGGCCCATTGCCTCCACTTCACGAGGAGAACAGCTCAGATAGCTCGACCAATCAAAACGGCAGTCCACCGCGACGTGCTGCTTTGGAAAGTCCGGCAGGAGATACAGAAGCAGAGGAGCTGAAAGACTCAAGTTTGAATCGGTCAGGGTCTGGGCAGTGTGCTGAGATACGGGAGCAGCATTCAATGACACTGGAAATTGTGGGAGTGGGTGAGAAAACGGACAATGCTCAGGCAGAAAACGCAGTTACTCCCGCTGGGAGCATCCCTCCAAATGGAGCCACGGAGGAGAGCCCGTCCACAACAGCAATTGATGCGCCAGCAGACCCCCAAGTCACAGCGGCACAGAGTGCCGGTGAGACAGCAACTAAGGAAGGAGAGTTAGGAGAGAAGGAAGCCATTACAGGAAAAACAGCTGCGGGCGTCGCACCCAAACAGGCAGCTGAAGTGAGAAGTGAGTGTGAGGGACTAGATGGTTCGATGCCTGATGACAAGCAGGAGCAAGAGAAGAAGCCATTTGCTGCTCCAGAGCATCGATTCGGCCCGTGGGCTCATCTGGGGCGAGACCACCCGGGTCTACCGGAGTTTCCGCCAGACAGACTGCCACTTTCAGTTCCCCCAAACCTAGACCGGAGGCTGTCTCTTAGTTTAGAGGGGGAGAGGAGAAGCAAGGGCCCCGCCCAGCGAATGGAGGATTTGCAGACCAAGCTGGCCATTTCCCCGGGTCGCGTGGCAGTGGAGCGCCTGGACCGGATGAGGGAGGTGGACATCATGTATCGCGTGAGGCGCCTCAGCATCAGGAGTACCGACTCTGGGGAGGGTGAGGCGGAGGGGGAGGGCAAGGACGAACAAGAGGAGAAGCCTCACCCCGCTCCTCAGGGAGACAAGGAGAACGATCAAGATTGGGAGGTCACCCATTCACGGCAGATCTCCCAGAAGACAGTGTTGCAAGACGAGGAGAATTCATCTCTCTCAGGTAAGATAAGAACATTAGAGGAAATTAAACTTGAAAAAATGAATTAGCCACATGTATGACTATCTGCACAGCTTTACAAATGTACCCACATTCTTTATTATCAAGGATAACCTAAAAAAAAAGGATGTGTATTTGCCTTGTGGTTCTTGGTCCACACGGATTCAATAGACTATCGAGGCAACAAAGAAAAGGAAAGAATACCAATGAAAGTTATTGAAGTATTCAATACACCGTCCCCATCCACAGGTTTATGATTCATGCTTCAGGACGACTGCAGACTAAACCATGTGTGAATGTTTAAATACTGAGAAATGTGTCATTAAAACTAGGTATTGATAGGAAATGATAAGTATATGGCTTTAGAGAAACTGTCATTGAATGCTACTGGGTGCATTTTGTCTAAATGTGTGCTTAAGGTTGTATGTATGTAAAAGAGACACAAGAGACTCAAATCGTGTTAAGCTTGCTGAGGAAAACATGATCTATTCAGTATTGATGTTACGACTATTGACATTTTTCCTCAACAATCATGAAAACACAAATTTAGAACAACGTTTGCTTGTAAGTTAGGGAGCACAAAAGTACATTTTTTATATTATAAGGCTGCAAGTTATTAAAATTTAGAAGACTGTTTATGGGCCTTGCTGTTAAAGACATCTCCACAAGATGGTGTCGGTGCCCAAAGATCTTTTATTGATGATGTCACTGAAGTAAACAAAATAATTGCAAATCACACTTTAGTTTACCTTGGTAAGATAGATCACTTTGTTCAATGATATAATGGATGGATGTTTATAAATACACCTTCTGTGAATGAATGTCTTTTTTCTTCACACCCCAGAACCCCATGATCCCAGCCGAGTGGAGACAGCGTAGAAAGACTGCGTCCAACATCTCCATCTGAGGTTTTTAGCTCCAACACTGTGACCTGGCTGCCTACTAGAATGCCTTCATCTCATCTTGACACTAAAATGGCCTTCTTGTCCGACAAGAGCATTGTGAACACCCTCACCCTCGGCGCTGCGTTGACTACTTAGAGTGCTGTTCCACTGCCAAAGGGAGGTGCCCCTTTAACTTGTGGGGCAACTTCCACTTCAATATCCCTCCCCGGCCTTCCCAATCTCACCTCCCACAACCCCCTCCGTCCTCCATCCCCAAGCCCATCCTCCTGTAGGGTTTTTACTAGTTAAGTCTTCTTGTAGCGGCTTGTCCTTTCTATTCTACCCTCCCTATGCTTTTTTCATTGGCAGACATTATGCAATTCTGTCGTGCATACTTAGAACTTCTAAAATAAACAAATCTATTTGTTTACGGGCGAGCTGTTAAGGATATGAATGTAAGCGTTTATGTTTAACCTAACGTAGACTTAGAAGGGTTATCGTCACAAACCTGTTGTTGCATTTAAACTACACCAAAATAAACTGCGTATCTGATTGTCGTGGTGAGGCGACACCTGTTTTAGAACTGGGCATCACTGTCTCTGGCTCAAGAACTGTTTTGATTTTCAGATCAATCAGCCTTTCTTTTGTAAAATTTGAACAACATTGTGCCCTTTCTCGTTGCTTTTTTACACACTGCAACCACAAACCCATAGCGCTCTTCAATGAAGAGTGACTACACCACATGGCGTGGTAGACTAGTAACCTATCATACGTTACCTTGGTTCTACGCTGGAGAGGGAGAGCTGCCTTCTTTCACCAGATGTGTGTTAGTCCTCTGATCAATCCGATGTATAGCTCCCATTTCCATGTAATTTCAGGAAGCAATAAAGGCACGGATTGAGTCCAAGTGGCGGTTGGCAAATTTGGTAAATTTAAAAGATGGATATAGGGATTAAGAACAAAAAAAGATAGGTAGAGCAATATTGTTGTACAAACAGCTCGGTGGTGTAGTTGAGCTACCTGTAGGAACCATTGTCAGAAGTTTTAATGTGTACGTGTCATTCAAATCATATTACAGGGATATGGAATCGTGTCAGGGTATATGGGCGCTTACTTCATGATATATATCTATGTTCACACATCTGTATCGCAAAAAGACGCCATTTCACGGAAGATTTATTTTTTTTATCATCAAATTGTTAGTCCGTTTGCATAATGTACAAAATAAAGTATATTTTAAATATTTTCAGAGATATTTTGTATTTAGCCATGACATTTTATTTCTCCACACTTCAAGCTGAAAGTATCATATGTCCGTATAGAATCGTACTGAGAGTAGACATAATTTTCTAGTGCTTTAAATCTAAGTGATATAAAGAGGGGTGGCGCTGTGGTGTGCCTTCATCACACGGTTCGGTTTCAGTGGGCGACAGGGTTCATCATCGCCAGTGTTGATGTGGTGGAAACTTTTTGATTGTGCCATGATTTCCTATTTGATAGTGCTTTTTCATACGCTAACAGAGTCAATGTTGGACAGTCTTTGTGATATTCGATACATCAATCCATCTCAGCTGTAATTCCTATGTTGGTGGTCAGACATGACCGGTGTCTTATTTTTGTCTTTGTATGTCTTCCAATTCAAATCATGTATTGTTATGTTGTTGGTTCCTCGAAAACATTCTTAGAAATAAAATTGGGAAATGTTTTTTCTTTTCCTTCCTTCCCCACCTTCCTTTCCCTCCTCCTGCTTACCTCCTACTTTCTTTCTTGGTTTCTGTCATTCCACAGTGTGTTCATTTTGTGTAAAATGTTCTGCCGTTCCTAACACTTATTGCACTAAAGGATTCAATGCAGTATGCTATTTTTGGCTAAAAACCACAAATTTGCCAAAAAAACAACTACTAAAACAGATTTCCTTTTGGAAAATTCAAGGGTTTTTAATACATTTTGAATAATCACTCAAAACTTAATTAATGAAAAAACAATCCTGTGGATGGAAAAAGTCTGCAGTTAAGTGGTTTTCTCCATAACAGCAGCACTGCATTGGTTTAATGTATCAACAGATTTGTAGTAAACCACCACTGTTTAATCACTTACCAAGTATCACATAATTGTTATGTAGCATTTTACAGTTGTAGCATTTTATCAACTCAGAACTTTGTCTTGTATTTCAAACATTTCTTGTAAATTTGGAATAATCATGTCGCCTTATTATGTGTGCATTACATTATACTCCAGGCAATGCCAAATATTAACCTGCTAAGCACTGTTTCATACCTTCGGTTTTTTCAAACAACTTACTGCTCTGCCATCCCTCTGGCTGGAGTGGTACAGTAGCATTGTGGATAGTTTCTGCTCTTCATGCCGTAAATCTGTAGGGAACATTGAATCAAAACTGTGAACTTCAAATAATACAAAAAGCATAATTTCAAAAAGTACAGGATGAGCTCCAGTGTTTCAAGACAACTACACAGTCAGCATCACTGGGAGGACAAGCTGGCAAGGCCATAATTACTGAATCATCTCATTTTCAATTCATTTTGCAGACTGAAAGGCTCAGCCTTGGTCTTGTGTGTAAACTGCCCCCGACGACATTTGAAAAGCTATTTCAGTACATACGCCCCCCAAATAATTGGCATGTCAGATACACTTGAACATAGTGTCATTTGACTTTTTGTACTGCAGGTTATGTGCAACATGAAGTAATTATGCACACTTGTAATATTTTCTATTTTCATATGAGATTTAAGTGCTTTTTTGTACTCACTGACATTTTTTTTCTTCCTTGCATGTAATGCAAGAAAGAGGAGGAAAAAAATGTTTTTCATAAAGTATATTTGCATTTGGTACTCCAATAGTAAATTGAGTGGGCAAACATTATGTTTCATAATTTAATTTATAAAACTATGCCAAGTATTTAAAAGCTATTTTTAGAGTATATAAAAAACTCATTCATTTTTTTTCCTTTAAGACATGCCTTTATCTTTGTATCTATAAATATGAGCATAATCCATAGTCATATGATTGTGCTACTGTTGTATGATACTGCAGTCTGATTCATAAATAAACTCTTTGCATGAAAGTTGTGTTTGTGATAAATTACCAACAGGACATCTACTAGATTTGTTTCATGCTCCTTATCAAGTTACGGTGGAAATACTGTTCTTTGTAAAATATTTAGAAAAGAATGAACTTTTAAATATTTATACATTGTTTTACTATATATAACCTCCAATTAGCCATGGTTTAGGTTTAAGAACACAGTTGTGGATTGAAAAAGATTAGTTAGCCATAAAACACAATACAAAATACAGTCAATATATAGCTAAATATAAATAATTAGCTAAACGTAACTATGACTATTATTATCACAGCTAATATATCGTTTGTGATGTTAACAAGGCTATTAAAACACCTATCAACAACACATCATAATCATTCTATATAAAGTACTATCATATGCATTACCAACATAAATAAATGAGTAAAATGTATGCAAACACAAACGTTACTTCCACAGTGACATGAATTTAACATTGGTGACGTTATCAATGGTTCCTGTGAATACTAATATAAAGTTAATTAACTATATTTAAAGAATATTTCCTATAGCCAATGTTAATACATGACATCAGCTCAAAAACAATTTAATTCAAAGAAAACACTTTTATTTATGACACGCTAGCTTTAATACCACTTTAAACTGGTGCTACCAGTATACTGGCTCAACGAACTGACCTCAAGAACTTATAGTATAGTTGCACATTTTTTTGAACTATTACTTGTGTTTCGTGTAGTAGCCATAACGTTAGTAGCTACCGTTAGCTAACGCAAGCTAATTTATTTAACGTTAACTGCTGACGTAATGCTACATCCCAAGCTAAGCTAGCTAACTAACGTTAGCTAACGTTTTAGGCTAACGCTAATTCTCAAATAGGAGGTAATTTAAAACAATATATTTACTTGTGATATATTGTTTTCTTACCATTGTTGCTGACCACAAACCAAAGACGGGTTTCTTAGAATCTGGAGCTCCTGGTTATCCATTAAAAGTAGGTTAGTATTGTTGACGTTAGCTAGCCGTTTTTAACCGTTGGGTCAACATGGCCGTCGATGACCATCTTCCTCAGGTAAGGGATTTTAACATATTCACCATTTAACATATTGAATAACTAACAGGACACAACCTCAATGGTCCAATTCAATCAGTTCCACTTCCATGCTATCGTTTGCCTTCTTCTATCAGTAACCATGACACCCGCAAGAGAATCATGTTAACCTTATTAAGTTATTGTTGTAACATTATAGTCTGACATCGTCGTCTGTCTTTTTAATCACGTAACGTTACGTTTTGTAACGTCTGTTTAATTTTTTGCTTTGGATTAACGATGTCCCCAAAACTAAACCGTTCCAACTGCCTCCTGAACGCTGACATTAATCTCCAGCTGTGTCCCACCGCTGTAAGTGACGTTAAACCGCAGGTCCGCCATTACTGTCCACGTGTTCTTCACGCTGTTGCTCTGGCAACACGTACCTCCGTTAGGGCTCCTCCGTGCACACACTCTGCATTCACACCCGAGCTGCCAGGAAGAAGATTCAACTGAAGGTATTTTACTCCTTACACTTCAGTGTATTCGGTGTAAACACCTGTAGAAAGACTCCAATGAGTATGGATGCGCTGCTTGTACTTAGTACGTCCACAAGGTGGCGCTCGACTATAAACTATAAACAAAAACACATTCTTCTCCAACAGAAGACGAATGCAGAAAAATACCTTCACAATTATTTTTATTACAGCACGCATGTTTTTACTATGACACATGTAATTGTCACATATTCTGTAAGATACATATTTCTACTATAATAGATGTTTAATTACATCATTCCACAGGTAAAATAACAGTTGGATTCCCAAATGCTCCTCCAAAATAAAGTGCAAATTTGAATTTGGCATGGATGAATCTTGTGACATAAATGGCAAAAAATAATTGTTTGCATGCTTTGCTCACATTTCCATTTTTGGAGGTGAACAACTAGAGGCTTAACATTTCATAAATATTGACATCAGCAGAGAAGAGATCCTCTCAGTGCACCTGAACCACTGTCCTTAAACAGAGATAAGGCTCTGGATTGTCTCAGCTGTGAACTCCAATCATACAGTTGCTTAACCATTTGGACACATCAGCACCTTTCAACCGTGTAATGATAACATCTGACGAACATTGCATTGCTCAAAAGCAAAATGCAGCAGCAGAGACCCCGGTGTTGTGAAACAGGGGCCCCCTGTGCAGCTTAACAGCTGATTCGATCCCCCTGCACCGGGAGCACGACTCTTCCCGGCTATTTATGGCAGATGCCCGTCTACCGAGGCCGCTCTCTTCAGCCCATACATGGTTGCCGTGGGATGAGGTTACCCGCGCCGATTTTGGCCCCGCACTCCACAAACCCCCTCGGACACGATGTTGTGTCGCCTCTCGCCGTCGGTGTACACTATCACATATCAGTCCACATGAGAGGCCGTTTAAAAAAAAAAAAAAAAAGTTTTGGGGAATATTTCAGGGAATCACTGATCGTGGGAGTAGCAGTCCGTTCCAGCTGCCCCTGTTTTCTTTTGCTCAGCTTCCCTCCCCGTCCTTCTCCTTCACACCCGTCTCCTGCACGGCCCACTCCCCCTCTCCTTCTCCCTCTCCCTCTCCCTCCCTCCTCTCTCTTCATTGCTCGGCTGCTCCTGGAAAAGATTCTTCTGGCCCCCGTGCAGCGCAGCGATAGCGGGGGAAAGCACCAGGCTATATTTGTCGGCTGCTGAGGTCGGACGTGCTTGGCGGCGGTGGATGACTTTGGATCCTCTGTTAGGGTTTACCTGCCCACACCTGTTCCCCTTCAGCATCTGCTACGCTCTGAAGAAGGAACTTGTGAGACCCTTTGTTGGGTAGTCTGCCGATTATAAAAATGGACTATCGTTGAAGCTGAAACATAGTGAGTACGCATTTGTCTTTTGAGTTTGACCCAATGCATGCTTCGGTATATGTCAACATATACAGTATATGTATATTTATATATAGCAGAAATTATTTTATGATGAGTTTGATAAATATTCATGATTCAGCTCGGTGTTGAAAAGTAAATTGTAGACTCTCAGGTATATGCTAAGTAGCTTAAAGGATGTTTGGCTACTTAACTGAATGATGTTAAAATGCAAAAACGTTGCTTTACACCGTGAAAAAAAAATTACAAAATGAAGGTTTCTGTCTTCCATTGTTGACCAGCCTTTTTTTGGTGTAGTATTTATTAATTGTGTTGTACTAGTAAGTAGGAGCAGGATTTCGCAAAGCATCCGATGTTAAAACAAAAGTCACAATCACAATGCCTTTGTTTTAGTGCCACACGCCCCGAAAGAATCAAAGATTGTGAAAGTATTGTAAAGTCTCCTTTGGGAAACTCATTCATAATGACTCTTTGTTATTTCACCCAACCTGCCCCCCCCCCTCCTGCCGGCAGCGGGTTCAAACGTTGGTGCCAAAGCTCGGCTCTGTGCGTGACTGGTGTCCGGTTTAAAGCGTCCACCTCGGAGGACTGAATGTAGCGTCCCCAGCAAACGTCCGTCTCGCTGCTCCGTCTCAAGTAACCACCCGGGCATTAGCATTCCAACCTCCAGACCGTGCAGCTGATCTCGGTGTTGGGCCGGCGCGTTGTTTCTGCACAGTTTTGTTTTCATAGTGTGTGTGTGCGTGTGTGTGTGTGTGTGTGTGTGTGTGCGTGTGTGTGTGTGTGTGTGTGCGTGTCACTCCGTACGACAGTTGCTTGGTGCTCTGCACCTGCTGCACTCGTCAAAATGAACAAACGGCTTTACTGGTCGGCCGCACTCGACCATCTGCCCCCGGATTCCGTTCATCACGAGAATACACACTCGCTGTAAGCGGTCGTTTGTTGAAGGGCTACGGCTTTTTGTTGAAATAGTTGAGAACACCGATGAACAAATGCATGGAAGCTCTGATTAAGGTGTGCTTTCCTTTTGCAAGCAGGCGCGGTTGTTTGCGCTTTGTTTTAAAGGCAACGGTGGAAGCATCAGCACTCGCCCACAGCGAACACGCCGGCCTCGGCCTGGCAGTGGGACTGTCGCTTTGGGGTAACATGTGAATGTTTTTAATCGATATTGCTTTTTCTCTTTCATCTGTTTCTCATAGCAGGAAGAATTTATTTATATGATGCCCTGATTACTGCATATATGTAGATAGATATCTGCCTTGTGGAAAAGAGTCTCGCGAGATGTTGTTTGTGCCCCTTGGACACGTGTTTGTTTCGTGTGTGAGAGAACAGTGCCACTCACCTGAAGCCTTGAGAGGAACAGATGTAAAACATTACAGACACAATTGATTCATATCTAACAAAGGAGAGAGTGAAATGGCTTTTTTTCGTTTTTTTGTTATCCGGGTTTCTCGGCGCTTTGCTGCAAGCCGAGGATGATTTTAGTTCACGTTTCAGCACGCCGACAATCCAAATGCCCCCATTCTTGTTCCTTTGCACCATTTAACATCCAAGTGACACGCTTGGACAAGAAATACAAAAAGTCAAATAAAGTTTGGAATATCTTATAGTACAAACAATGTTTGGGTGCATATTTTATGTAATTTTAAACATGTTTAGAACAAAGGCACAAAGACTTCCTCTGCCTCCTCCTTCACTCCCTCCTGCTCCGTCTCTGCTTCCCCCCCTCTCGCTCTCTCCTCCTTCTGAGGGTTGCAGAACTTCTTAAGTGTCTCTCATCAGAAGCACCGGGCCTCTTTGCGCCCGTTGATATCCATATAAGAGCAGAGCGTTGGTGAGTAGATGCAAGGCAGCAGAAAGGAACGCGGATCTGGAGCTAAAGAGTAAATGTTTAAGGGAGGAGGAAGGATGAAGGTTCCTCCTCTGCTGCCTCAAGCTCTCACTTGTGTGTGTGTGTGAGTGACTTTGGATATATACATATATTTATATCAAAGCATGCGTGTCTGAGTCTCGGTGTACATCCGTGCATTCGTACAAACCAACCAAAGAGACGGAGACAGTCTCTCCTAATAAAGGCAGCCGCTGCTCGGAGCAACGTGTGAGAAGAAGACCAGGAGCTGAGGAATTAATGATTCTGATTAATGATGCTGCTATTCTAAACACCAGGTGTGTGGGAAAAGTGCTGCAGAAAAGAGTGCATCTGATTTATCTCTAAAAAGTCTGCAAGAAGGGAGTAGTTAGTATGAGCAGCAATGATCTAGTACCAACACTTTTTCTCGGCTCCATAGTCTGCAATAGCAGGGAAATGCATCCTTCTCGTTTTGTCCCTTTAAAAGAAGTCTGTGCTCCAGTCGGACACAACGTCGACCCGGCAAAGCACCGAGCTGAGCCGAGCTCAGGCCGCTTAACGGCCGCCTGAAACAAAGGGTCATGTGGTTTCTATAAGTAAAAAGTCCACAACGTATGACCAGAATGCCGCTGAGCTTCGGAGCTTAAAGTTTGATCAGCAGAGAGGAGCTTTGATGCTGAGTCACCCACCGCGTGGTGTTTACATGATGTCCCGGGTGTTGAGTTTTATTGACTGGTTTCCACGTCGAGTGTTGCCAGATGAAACCGTTGGGCCGAGTTTCACATTTTTGTGACCAAAGGGACAAATAAAGTCGGAGCGAGCGGTCGCATGCAGCTGGTGAACAAGATCAGGAAACAAATAATCGTTTGACAGACAGAGGAACATGGTGAGTGATGATTGTGAATATATTCATTTTCATACTTTATTCGTGTATTCATGAAATAATGTACTTTTTTCAAAAACATTGATCCTGTATTCTCCTAACATGTTTTTTTTTGATTATTCTTTATAATCAGACATTTATACCTAAGAGCTTGTTAATTAAGTACATAGAAATGGAAAATTTCCCAAACAACAGAGAAAGTAGCAGATTATGTAAGTGAGGTATGAGAGCTTTTAAAGGTGCAGTGTGAAGGGTTTGGCGCCCCCTAGCGGGGAGGTAGCTGAACTGCAGTCATGCGAATGGCCCCGTCGAGACCCTGTGATCGGATTGTCCACTGTGGGCTTCTGTAGAAACATGGCCGCCAGCTCCTGGAAGAGGGCCCGCTATATATTTAGATAGAAGCGGCTCATTCGAAGTAAAAATAAAAAACATATACAATTATGTATAAGTACACTTATATGGTGTACCATGTTCCCTAATAGATCCCACTGTCTGCTGTACACTATTCCTTTGAATGGGTTTTTAAAACAGCCAAACTCCAAAGTAAAAAGCTCCTTTTTAACATATTTCCGTTGACTTAGACAGCGAGGCGTCGGACACACGTTCCCATGTTGTCACGGAAGAAGTTATGTCTTTCGCCAGCGTGGTTTACTTCTAAGAAAAGCTTCACCAAAGGCCTGTTGTGAAATAATAAAAAGTGTGCGAGCGACGGAGCATTGGTCGTGTCTGTTGTTGAGATAAAATAAGTCTGTCCAAGAAAAGAAACTCAGCGAATGCAAGAAAAGAGAGGAGAGACAAGGAGACTTGAGGAATGAGAGGGAGTTGAGCCAAGGGGGTTCTGGAAGAGTTGGGAGGGGGGGCGAGTGGCTCTGCAGGATTGCACAAGATGGGTGGCGGGGAGGACAAATGCGGTGGAATGAAGGGGAGAAGGAGGAAGGAAACAAGGAGACGCTCCCCTGGTAAACAGCGGGCGGCTGGCCGACAGGGTGACCTCTCCCCGAGGCAGCCACTCACGACACTTGTTGCCTTATTAGGGGCGTCAACAGGGAGCCGGGGCAGACTAAGGAGGAGGTGGCGGGGGGGGGTGGTGGTGAGAAAAAGCAGCAGACAGACAAGTTGGACTAATAGTCCAGAAGACTGCGATGAGAGGGAAAGGGCCGCTGGTGGTTTGCACCCCTCTGCGTGCGATGCACACGTTCTGTTTTGTTCCTTTTGTCAAGACATGTTGCCACGACGATTACGACCTTGAATTGTGTTATTGTCGGCCTTTGCGAGGCGTCATACTACACCTTGTTTAGCAGAAGCAAAGAGTTTCATCCGTCCGACAGGTTTGTTTCGTTTGGCTGCTGATCAGCCGTCGAGGCGTCTTGAGGTGAAGTTATTAGGAGGCCAACTTTTGTGTTACATTTGTTTCCAGGTTTTAACAGTTGCATTTACCTCAGTCGATGATGTCATGACTGGTCATGTGACATTCGGACCCTCTTTGCCCCCTCCAGCGCCTCCTCATCTGACTCGCCTCAGTGTAAAGGGCTACGCACAACGCTCGACTGTGTCTTTGTGTATCTTCGTGTCTCTGTCTGCAGTTGAGAGTGAAAAGATGAATGATTGGTGACAATTTGTCAGAAAGTTGTCACCGAGGCGGTCAGTGGAAACCATTGAACCGTAGTGGTTCTCCCAGTGGCAAACTGCCTGTCATGATCTGCTGGACTCCAACTGCATTTTAAAACCGAATTAACCAGCAATTCAGAATATTCAGCTTTGGTTTATGGGAAGTGTGACGTGTCATGACGTTTGAGGCACATCTGATTAAGGATACAACCCGACTCCCAGCAGCCGTGGGCCCAACACCACCCAACACCACCCAACACCACCCAACTCGACCCAACACGGCCCTGCTGGCATCCTTCTCCGAGTTTTTATCATCAAGGCTAATTTCTGCCTGTAATCTGATTAGGCCTCTGAGCTGCTTTAGCACCCTGCTGCGCTGTCTCTCTCTCTCAGCTCCCCCTCGTGCACACACACACACACACACACACACACACACACACACACACACACACACAGATCCCGTATGACAGTCTGTGCTCGCCGGGCAGCCGGGGCAGTCAACCCGCTGTGTTCCGTGGCCGTGTGTGTGTCTGTGCCCGTGTGCGCGCGGCAGCGTGTGTCACCGCATCCATCCTCGCCTCCGCCGCTGTGACCCGAGGGCGAGTCTCGGTGGGCGTCCGTCCTCTCTCCTCCGCGAACATGTTCCGAAACCCGTGGCTCTCTAGTTACCACGTGAACCGCGAGCCGCCGGGTGGCCAAGGTAAGGCCTCTGGAGAGGGGTGAAGCCTCCTGAATAACCGCAGACTGCTGGGGGGGGACTTTGCTAAAGCAGTTTAGCTCCTCGCTGAGATAGATGACGGGGCGGGTGGTGATAATCTTTTGCTTTGGGTTTGAACGTTAGCGCCCGGAGGAATAAGACGTGTGGTTCTTACATATAGTGCAGCCCGTTCAACAGGTTTGTGTTGTGTTGCGATCTTCTTCCCTCCTCTCTGATGTTCTACCATTTGAAGGCATTCGCGTCGCAGCCTCCAAGCCGCCCGCGTCGCGCGGGAAGGCTATCTCAGGGTTTCTGAATATTTATAGAGAAATCCTCCTCCTCACGGCGTCAGCGGCCTGAGCTGCTCTCTGGCACCGTCCACCTCCAGGCTGGTTGTGTTGACGACCTGCAGGCGTTTCCAAGGAGAGCCGGACGGGCTTCTGTAGGGTCTCTCCACGCGGATAAACAGGCAGATACATTTACACAAGCTCCCCCAAAAGCTTCAGAAATATCACCAAATAATGTTACCAGCCCTGATTCATGGTCTCGCTTTTGGGTCGATTCATGCTTGTATCCACACCTGCACCAGAACGTGTCACTTTCGAGTCCTCGTTTCATCGCGTCACGACACAAAACACAGAGACGTCTTAATTGAGCGTTGGGATTGTACCACCACAGTACCATCTCACTTCTTCGGAGGCCCAAATAAGCCAGAGGGTATCTAGGGCCGCCTGGAGGAGTAACGCGATGCGGCTCCTATCCCAGGACACAACCTTCCAAACCAGAGGGTCAACTATCAGCTGGGAACTGGAAGTGAACTTTCTGAGAAGCCTTCTAAGACTCGTGACTCATACTGAGGCTGGAAATGTTTGGTCACACCCGGACGGCATGTTGTTGATTCTCTTAAAGGACCTTTCAGTTGCGTCCGAACCATTTCCCGTCGCTTTTATCAGCATCGGCAGTGCATCGTTTGAGTTATGTTGATTTTCAAAAGGTAAGCAGTACAATTGTGCTGTTCGTGCTACAAAGAAGAAGAGATGTTTTGCTGGAATTTTTTAAGCCAGCTTGAATCATACAAGAAATGAAGAAGAAATGCAGCACAAAAGGCTTTACGTTAAAGGAAGATAGACCCCTGCCCAAAGAAAGTATGGCGATTGTTAAGCGTAACCTTGTGCACAGTTAACAGCCTACTGAGTGAAGAACAAGTTAGCATTCTTGCACCGTTTATTCTTACCAGAAAAACTGATCTGATGTGCTAAATGTCGCACAGTGATATCGGATGTGGAAAGGTGGAGTGTTGAATCGTTCCCGTTTAACCGAGTCTTGTTTCTCTTTTTAGAGTTTGGATCTAAAGCTCGGACCAAGCTTTGCAGCTCGGCCTCATTGCCAACAGAGGCATTAAGGTGAGGTTTTTGAGAAGATAAGCCTTCATCCAGCCACAGGGGTAATTAAGGTGTTGGTACAAAGACAGCTACTTTCAACTGAATTAAAACAGACAATAACATATTGCATTTCCTAAGAGCATTTGCGTTTGTTCATCACTTTGTCCAGTCATCACAATGGGGACATGTAAGGATGTGGGTTTACTGCAGTAGAGCGCTTCAGCTTATCATGCACAGTGAGCATTAAAAGCGGGGGATGCCTGGAATAGATTATCCAAGAGACGCTTTTTTCATGGCTTTAAGGCCGTAATACCTCCTTCAGGAGCACTTTGCAGCCGAGCTCCTTTTGCATTTCCTCTGGCTCTTCAGCCGCCCCGCAGACTTTTTTATTCATTTCAACATTGAGTGTCACAAGCAGTTTCTGACTAAATTGACCCAAAGTGAAAATTAAAAGCACTGGTACTTGTCTACAAATGATAATTACAAACCACTTTGTTTTAAAATACGTGGACTTAAAAGGGGACTTTACGTACATCCTGGCTTGTGTGACCTGTTGATTGTGATGTGTAATGGCATTATAATAAGGCCTTGACTGTTGGTTTCTAATTGGAGGAGAGTCGGGCTTCTGTGACCTCCTACTTAAGCTGGATCTGGTTTCCCCCGTTACCTGTCATCACCTCTTAGGGACGAGGCCTTTGAGCCGGATGACGCCTGGATGGCGGAAACGGACAAATTGGCACAATTAACCGTCGCCGTTTAATCCGAACAAAGCGGCTGCTCATCTTCCTATAATTAGCATTTTATTTTCCAGAAGCGTCGATTTAATTAAATGTATATTTTTCTTTAAGAGGACGCGATACCGGGTTTGTGAATGTGTCTTCTCATCTCTTCTTTCAGTTTCCAGAGTGACTTCTCCCTGAGCGACAACACCACCTTGGTCAAGAGTGTTTCAGATACAGATGCCAAACTCCTGGCCGTCCTTCCCAAGGGTGTGCATTGGCTCTAGTCACCCAATAGCATATAAATATCATGTAACTCTCTGTGTTATTGTTATGCTACAATTTCTTTTTCTAATATTCAGTTTCAGAGTTGAAGAAACACTTTGAGGGAGCCGTCACTGAGGATTTGGGAATGAACAGGTACCTTCAGCGCTCACAGCCATCACATAAACCCACCTCAGTATATTGATGAAAACTCAACTAAGCTGTTCCTGCCCTTTTGACCTCCGCCCTTTGCCTCTCGACAGGAAGGAGAGAGTAGCTCGGCGCATGGAGGGGATTGAAATCGAGGCTCCTCCTGCGCGGGTGCCCGGTGGTTTGGTAGCCAAACCGGATGCTGGAGGAGGATCATCCGCCGTACACGCGCGCCTCCAATCCATGCGAGCCTTGTGTGAAGGGTACGGCGGAGCGCGTGACCTCGGATCGACTGTCCAGATGTGTTTCAAACAGATTTTTAAACGTAACGGGCTTTTCCTCCCTTTACCGCAGTGAGGCGCTACAGTCGAGAGGAGTTGGAGGCCCCCCAGAAGAAGCTTTCGTCTCATGACAGATCGCCTCAGGTCAAAGGTGGCGGTGGCAGCGTCCGCCAGGAGCCATCGCTGGTGCATGTTGACCCAGTAGCGTTGTCCACCTCCTCTACACCCACTTCTGCCCCCACAAACCCCACCAGCCTCAGTTCCAAGGCCGAACGCATTGCCCGCTACAAAGCCGAGCGCCGTCGGCAGCTGTCGGAGCGCTACGGCATCCTCCTGGACCAGGAGCCGGACATCGATTATACGCCACGCTACCGCTCGCGACGTGACACAGACGCCTCCGACCGACAATCGGCTCCCAGGCCAGAAGGGGACCGACAGGAAGCTCAGGAGCCCAGAGTGCCGTATCGCGCCGGAGTGGGCAGGGTCTACATGAGGACTAACCCAGATCCAGCCCCTGTTTCCACCGCCGGCCCCGCCCACTCAAACCAAGCCCCTCCCCCCACACAAGAAAGGCCCAGAAGATTTTCAGAGCGGGAAAGAGCGATGAACAGGGAGAACCAGCGGCGCGTTTCGGGTCAGGAGCGCCCGGCCGCTTCCAGGTCTAGAACGCAGGAGCCGCAGACACCTCAGTCCCAACACCAGGACGCCGCCCATCAGGAGGCAAGCCCCGCCTCCAGCAGGGATTACAGCATGGCAGCGGTGCCCACCTCGCCCCGCACCGCCCGCCGGGCCTCCCTGCCCTCCACCCGCTACGGCATCTCTCCTGGGGATTTGTTCATAGAGCAGCAAGCCCAAAGCATCCTCAACAGACAAGGGTGAGTTTGTGAAAAACGGGTCAGAGTCTCATATTTAGGATCAAAGTTTTATCCCTCACTTATGTTTCATCTACAGGTTCACTGGATACATACAACTGTCTTTGTAACATTTGTTCAATCCAGCTATTTTTTGCCAATTTGACCATATGCTATAATCTTATCACATTTCCTTAAATCCCTCAAAGTAGAAAGAAAAGTACCCTCATTTTGAGCATTTTTCACACCAACATCGCATTGAGACTCAAACTAAACCCCTTTGTGTTAAATCCTCTATCACTAAATGTTATTTTTCTCATGTTAGAACAGTCTACAAGCTGTAAACCAGTCCCCTTAACCCGTCATCACAGAACCACAGCTTTAAGATTGGTTGTGAGTGTGTGTGGCCTGCGTTTCATGTGCCGCTGAGTAGAGTTACTGAGCCACAGTTGATGGGGTGACAACATTAGTCCGCTCGACTCAGTCAGTCGTGGACCCACTGACTCAGCACTTGTCAGCTGATCTGGAAACTGGCCTGTTAACAACTATGAAATTACATCTGAGTACCGTGTCAGTGGCTCTGACATTGTTTTCGCAGAGATAAGACTTTTGATTCGTATGTATGATTTTTAATCACCTCGTACATTCTTGTGCTGAAAGGATTCTCGAGACACAAACCTTTATAGAGAGTTTTAGTTAAGCTTAATTGATTTTCATTGGTACACATGAAGACTTATTTGATCCATTTGCAGAGAAAAAGTCATATAGGAAGGATGTGTCTCAGAAGAGGACATTCTAATCGTTTCCTAACCACTATGTCCTTGTATACCACTATCTTCAGCTCCCTATGCTAGCTAGCATTAGCGTGTACTCATGTAGCACAAGAACTGTGTAAATCCTTCGTGCCATGTACAATAAACCACAGGTCCATCAATTATGTCCGGCTTTGTGATCTACAATGAGATTAGAGCGACCTTTGGCTACCAGGGGTCAGAAGGAGGTGGATGAAAATAGTTTGGCTTACCTTTTTTGGCACAGAAACATCGGAGAGAGAGAGAGAGAGAGAGAGAGAGAGAGAGAGAGAGAGAGAGAGAGAGAGAGAGAGAGAGAGAGAGAGAGTTGTTTGAACTAAGACTCAAATATAAACCCCACGCACGGTGCTACTTGACCTTGCAGCACTTCTACGGATGGATTTGGGAGTTCAAGTCGGTCCCAGTTTCGGGTCATAAACTTTTATGCGATAGATTTGAGTGGAAATTAACTTAACTAAGGGCGTGCAAAATTTAAATCAATAACATTTGGGGGGATTTGATCTATGGGTGTCATAGTAGCAGATTGTTTGGACATCAAAATGTAAAATGGATATCATTTACCACGCCTTATCAAAGCTTGGCACCTGCTCTTCAGTTACCTCTTTGATTTGAGTTTGGAGTTCGGAGAATGAAATCTTTAGCTGAACTGGAATCTCAGTGTCCCGTCTCCGTTTATAGAATCCGGGTAAGAGAACGATTGTCCAGGGATGAAATTGTCCAGAGGCCCCCCGACTGGAGTCCAGACCTGCCCCAGGCTAACAGACCCCGTACTCAGGGGAGCCCTGCTCACTACGCCCCACAACAAGCAGAGCCCGCCCAGCAAAGGAGCGCTCCCGATCCTCAGCCCAGTGCAGCCCACCATTCTGCCCACGGCCAAGCAGCCTACCCGCTGTCCGTCCCCGAGTACCAACACCCCAGCCCCACTGTCGACGCGCAGCCATATTTGGCCCTCCCTGCCCCAGTGGCGGCTGCCAAACGCCCCGGACCCCCCGAGGTGCAACCGCGGAGGAGAGTGAGTGCCGAGCAAGTCCATGCCGCCCACAGGGAGGCCAGAGGGGCGGCCCGGCAGGCCCTGAAGGAAGAGGCCCATACAGAGGGCCTGCTGAAGAGCAGGAAAGCCGTTTTGCCATCGGAGATCCGCCGGAGGGAAAAGAGTGCGGATGACACTCCCAGGGGCCGGCACGAAGACATGGACTGGCAGAAATACAGCCCGGAACGGAGGACGACAAGTCAAGGCGAGGAGGACTGGGATCGGGAGAGACCGAGGGAGACGGAGAGGGGGAGGAACGTCGAGAGGATCAGAGAAAGAGGGAGAGACGTGGCTTGTAATGACAGCCAAGAGGAGAGAGCAATTCAATCGATGCAGCCTTCTCACGCCGCAGCAGTCCAGCATCCAACGCAGCATCAACCCTCAGAGCCTCTGTACCGTCAAGAGCCCCAAATTCAGCAACAGGGGGCCCCAGCGCAACAACACGATGAACCCAGAAAGAGACAACATGGTGCTCAAATTCAACAGCAGGAACCTCCCATGCAGCAGCAGTACGACCACCCGAGACAGCCGCAAGAGCCCCAAACGCAACAGCACCCTAAAAGACAGCGGGAGTGTGAGCTCCAAAGAGAAGAGCCTCCAAATCAGCGGCAAGACTCCCGGAGAAATCAGCAAGGGCCACAACCAGAAGTGGAGCCTCAGAGGCAGCAGCGGCGGCCGGACCCGTCGGGGAACCAGATGTTTGACACAGCCATCTATATGCAGAGGGGCTCCTCTCTGCCGCAGGCCCAACCGAGAAGCCTGGAGGTGAGCGGAGGGCCCAAACCCAAGATAAGAACCCGCGCCATGTCGGACATAGGCATAAGCCAGCATTCCACAATGTACCGCATGGAGAGGGCAGCGGCCGGCAGGGAGACGTCGAGGGCCGCCCCTGCACCGGGGACGTCTAACGGGGAGATGGGCTCCCTGGACACCAGGGTGTCAGTGGCACTGCTGCGACACTCGTACCTGGAGAACGCCAACCGGAAACCTGAGCTGTAGGTCCACTGGCATGGGCTCTGTGTTGCATCGCTAAATAACTGTCTAACCCTGCACCGGTGAGCTGTTGCAAAAACATTAAAAAAGATTTGGACAGAAGGTTCTTTGGCATGAAAGGGGTCAAAGTGCATTACGGTGATATTATTACTTACTATCGTTGTTCATTGTCGTGTCTGCCATCTTGTTTCTGAGCTTGTTGGGGTCGGAGTTGTCTGCTGCTGCATGTTCACTGTAGCAGATGTCTCTTCACGTTTGGGTTGCCGTCGGTCAACGTGTGACACCCCTCCCTTCTAACTTTGGTGCAGTTTCTGGTAAACTGTTCCACTAAAACCAAACACTGTTAATAGTTTTTTTCACTTGTACTTTTCCTCTTCGTTGTCCTCGTCAATCTATACACTTTCCTCTAAAAAAAAAAGAGAGGCCGCCAAAGTAGATCTGTCAGCCACGGAGGTAGAGCCGGCGGGCGGCAGCGATCGGGACCGGGGCGCTCGCAAGCCCCGGCGCTACATCACCCCGGGGGACAGCCGCATGTCGGAGAGGTTTAGGACCCAGCCCATCACGTCTGCAGAGCGGCTGGAGTCAGATAGGTACAGCCGGGGCTCCCCGTAGGGATCGGCAGGAGATCTTCACAAGCGTTTCATTCATGTGACACTGGATTGCACGATGGGGGAATGATGTGGTTCTAGGTTGACATTCGGATCGTGATAATTACGTCGCGCTTCCTCAAAAACATACAAAAAACGTGTAAATGCTGATGCTGGACGTATGTTGTTGTTTTCTGCAGGTCTCGTCTGAGCCCATCGAAGCTGCAGGATCCTGAAGGTTAATTCTGCATATACGCACACATTATTTTTCAAATTGTATTACAATTTTCTCAGAAGTTCAAATACAGTTAATGATTATTTTCTCCATTTCATTAGATGAAGGAAAACTGGATGATAGAGCCAAGATGAGCGTGGCTGCCAAGATGTCTCTCTTCAGGGTACACCTCCTATTTTATGCACATTTTAATCATATTACCAGAGGATTAAAAATGATTATTTTTGAATGATCAATGTTTTGTCGTCATAATCTCAAAAGAGAAAGCTATAGCTTTGTTCATATGTCGTCTTATTTAGTTAACTGGGTATTTAAGGACATTCAAATGAATTCCCCTGCTTTTGTAAACTTGTTCCTCACATATTCCTCCAGGAGCTGGAAAAGACATCAGACGGAAGTATTCCCAAACCACGCTCTCGAAACTCTGCCGTTGAGAGGCGTCTGAGGAGAGTTCAGGACCGCTCACACACTCAACCCGTCACCAACAGGGAGGTCGTCGATGCTTCGAGGTACATCCGGCATTCTGCTGGTTTGGCTGGATCTGGTTTATTTATCTTATTCTACTGACCGTTTTTCGCCCAATTGATATGTGCCAGTTTCTTTGTCATAACCACTTCTTTTTTTCTGTACCTTGAAGCGATCCCGCCGCATCGCCACAACTTGTGAGCAGCCACGGCGCCGCCCCCCGTGTCCCGAGCCCCACTGGAGTCCCACTCGCCAGTGTGACCAGCATCAGGTACCGACCTACATGTGCCGTGCGTCGGTGTGAGTGTGCATGCGTCTCTGCTTTTCAAGACCACAGTTCAATGAAAGAAACTACCGTGTATTGTTGTTATGGATTTGAGTCTTTATCTTTAAACAACTTATTTAAAACTTAGAAAAAAGCTCTGAAAGAGACTAAAATCAAAGAGCTAATTAACATGTTGACATTCTGACCGAGTGAAATGTTGCTCACCGCCTCCCTCTCTTGGCTGCAGAGCGGTTCTGTTCACCCGGCTCATCTTACGCTGTGGTTCAGCTTCATACCTAAGTGCACCTTATAGGGCAAAGGAGTCGGCTTGAACCGCATAACTCATCCGGTACTTTCCATGCCCAGTTCCCAAGCTGTTCCCTCTGTCACCGTTTCTCACATGTGGGTCACAAAGGTCAGCGAAGTAAAAATAAGTCACATATCTTTATTGAAAGGTCAGAGGTTGAGTCGGTTAAAGCTCGCCCCCGCATGTCAGGGTTCACGTGTGTTTACCGACCCTGGTTTAACCTCTGTAAGCCCCCCAACATCCGAGTGAACTATACGATTATCTGGCATATGAATGCTGATCTACTGCGCCTGTAATCCGCCCCACTGGTTACAGCTGTTCACCTGCTCGCTGGTGTTTGCATGCGTGTTCAGCTATTTGATAATCAGGGTATTTTGTTCTTGGTTATGAAAATGCTCGGTTGTTCCTTACCATAAGATATGTAAATATTACAAGTCAAAGGCAATTGTATGTATAGAATGTATAGACAAATACATTTAGAATCTCTTCTTTAACAGTTTACAAAACCCATGAAAAGGATGTTAAATACATTAAATATGAATGTGGTGAAAGTGTTTATTACGAGATCCTTCAACACCCAATGCCGCCCCTCCCTCTGTCACTACCCAGCATCCCGGCCTCCTCGCAGGACCCGGCAGTCCAGCATCGGGAGAAGGAGACGGAGGAGCACCACCCACCAGCTGCAGCTCCCAGCGAGTCAGAGGGCCGGCTGCTCCTCCCCGACGAGCCGGACCTCTCCACCCTCCCCTTGGCAGAGAAGATGGCCCTCTTCAACCGCCTCGCTCAGCCCGCAACGGGCAAGGGCGCCGAGGGGGCCCGAGGAGACACCCGCCAACGCAGGGCCAACGCCCGGTTTCAGACTCAACCCATCACCCAGGGAGAGGTGGAGCGGGTAAAGACGCGCACACACAACATCACAATAGAGTCGATTTGTGACCCTATTTTCCAAATCGTCACCAACCTTGGTGGCATCCGTCCCAATTCACAAAATTACAAATTAACTAAAGATGAATAAACCAATGTTTTAATGTGAATACATTTCTATGGTCAAATATTGGCTGTGGGGACCAACGTTTGATTTGCATATTTAGCATACAAACAATAGCGTACAAGCAATAAAATACAGGCAATTGACATATGTTAAGTTAGAAATACTGTACATATTTATCTTTTGAATGTTTACCACTTACATCTACACGGCCATCACATCGCCGTAGGCAGACGTCCCCTGCAGCACCTTCATAATCGGTCACTGGTGTCCACACAGGAAGCAGAGCCGCGGCTAACCTCCGCCTTGTGTAACGGTGACTCGCGGGCCAATCAGGGACAACATGTAAGAGCCCTGCGGCCCGTACGGAGCTTCTGATTGGTTGCAACAAATGATCCCGCTCTCCACTGATCTGATTGTGTTGTGCTTACAGTAGCTCGATGACGTCCATAAATGCATCTCACTCTGCATTTGAAGCGGCCGATGTTGCTTCGTCATGAGGAATTGGCGCCTTGTTTGTTTCCTTTGGCTCCTCATTGTTGGATGCAAGCAGCTTCTCTGACATGCTTGTGTATTGCGAAACAAGCATGCAAGTATCGAATAAACCAGCAAGAAACAAAAACGTATCCAGGGAATAGGAACGTGGATGTATCTGGCCAGAAAGCTGTGTGGGTCAATGCAAAGACCTTGTTTACCGTCAAAATGAATGGACAGTAGTAGTCTGGTTCAGAGATGGCTCATATTTCAATATACAACTATTAATACTGAATTTTAATGTCATGTTTTACTGACCATGGGAGCAAATGTGAAACCATCTCATTTCTCATCTGACTGTATTCCTCCACGCATCAATCTGTTCATCCATCTGTAGCATCCACGCACACCTCCACCAATCTCTAACTTCCATCCACACGGCCATTTAACTCCATCCTTTTCTCCATCTTAAGCCCCTCTACCCTCGAGTTGTCTTTCTATCCGTCTCAAATTTCTAACATGATTCCTGCTGTTTCTGCAGCTGAAAAACGGGGGCGAGATCAAACTGGAGCCCCTGTCGGCCTCCCTGATCCGCTCCGTGGCAGCCGTCACCTCCCAAGCCACCGTCGCCACGGTGACCGTCACGCCAGGCAGCAGCGGCGCCGACGACGACAGCGGCCTCCGTCCGAGGAAGTCCACCGCCGTGCCCTGCATCCCTGCCCAACAACAGGCTGCCGGCACTTCGAGCAGCCACCAGGAGAGGGCGTTGATGTATTTCTCCATGACCCAGAGCGGGGACACGGGCCGCCCCGAGCCCGGGCTCGACTCCTCCCCGCTCCTCCAGAGAGCCGGGGCTCCTCGGGCTCCAACCTCCTCCACCAGTCACAGGCAGCAGGGGGAGGCGGCGGTGGAGGAGCGCTGGAGAGAGCGTCAGGAGGAGGAGGTGAGGGGGAGACGGCAGGGAGGAGCCAGAGGAGAGATCCAAGACGGCGGCATTACGGGAAAGCTGCACTCCCCCGACAGGCACCGGGACAGCAGGCGGCAGCATCCCCAGCACTCTGCCGAGCTCTCTCTGCAGGGGGGCGAGTCGGAGCCTCTGCCCAGCCGGAGAGCCGCAGACGGACGCTCCCACGAGAGCAGGGAGAGAGCGGAGGGAGGGGGAAGAGGAAGAGGAGGGTGCCTGGGAGAGGCAGCTCACGGCGCCTCCGCACAGAAGCAGGAGAAGAGCAGCAGCCGGAGCCAGCCGGGCATCTCAGGTAGGAGGCTTCTCCGATGACTTACACAGATGCATGAGATGGGGAAAAGTGAAAGAATGATGGAAGGGAGGTGAATATCTGAGGATGTCGGAAGAGAGATAAAAAGCAGAGACAAAAAGAAAGTGGAAGCAGTGTCTGGGGACGGGGCTCTTCTCATTACCCTCATTGTCTCGTGCAGCACGCTCCCACGCATGATTGCTTTCTGCCGGCTGCACACACACACACACACACACACACACACACACACACACACTTGTCCCTGCTGGCGGTATTTGATTTGGCTGATACAGAGAGACAGAGGCGTCTGAAGCTGCATCTAATTAGCATATTTCCACATTCATTTGCCTGGTGGCTGTCTTTGTTTAGAGGAGGACGCCCCTTCCAGACACGCTGATTGCCAGCTAATGGAAGCCAGAGATTTTTTTAATCGATCCGTGTTGTGCTCACTGTCACGGCTGACAAAAGGGGCTGTGGTCCCCGTGCAGCTTATTACGCCCGCGAGCATACTCCGTTATAATGGGCCTGACCTGCTTTTATGTGCCAGGGGGTTGGTCTCTTTTTCCCATGCATGCTCACAAACACTGCACAGGGAGATGAAAGCGCTCGGCGAGAGAGGGCAGAACACTTGGCTGGCACTTCCATCAAACAGGTAGAGGACGGGAAGGACACAAAGGACGCCTTGTCTGCAGGCCGAGCTCTTATTCAGTTCAGTGTTGGTTGATCTATGAGACTATAGTATCACAAGGCCAGGACGGCTTGCATTGCATCACAATGACGCGCTGTGGAGTTTCCGCGACAGGCCTAACGCTGACCCTTACCCTGACCTCCACTGAGGTCAAGATGCTACTAATAATGTGCAGTAGGTCTGTGATTCTACGTGAACACTTTCCCCCGAGGTTGTAACATTCTGACATGCTGAATGCTGCTTTCAGACCTGCCGGATCATCCCGCACCGCTGAGGCCCCCGACAGCTAAAGTCTCATCCAGGACGGTGTCTCACGTTTCAACCAGCCTGCAGCCTCCTCAAACTCTCCCCAAACCCTTCACCCAGCAGCCCGCGCCCACACCGGCCAAACCTCCGGCCGACAGTCAGCCCCCGCCGACGTACCCCAGAGCTTCCCCTCAGTCCCCGCAGACGCAGGCCAGACCTCAGGGATTCATCCAGCCTCTCCCTAAGCCCTACCTGCAGACGCCCCCCAAACCGCAGTGCTTCCCCCAGGCTCCGGTCCTTCCCCAGTCCCTGGACCCCGACGAGGACTTCGGCAGGGACGGTGCCCATTCTGCCGATCTGCTGTCCCCCACCGAGTCCGTAGACCTTTCGCCTGACGGCATGTCCGCCAAACAGATGTCCATCAAGGAGAGGTGAGTGACGGCTGAGCATCTGAACGCGACGTCTCTTACAGCACTCATCCCACTGGTGTAACTGGTGTATGTGGTGCTGCTGTGGAGGCGATAACATTTTGAACCAGGGACATGTCCCACCAGGGAACAGGGTCATTCAGGCAGGAACATCGCAGCGATAGTGATGCTGATGCGCTAATGGCGATCACACTTGCTGAGGTGCATTTTCCTCAGCCTCAATCCCGACCGAAATATCTTAAGCTCTCCACGGAAGGTGAAACCCTGAGGAACATGAGTGAGGAGGCTTCTTCAGTGACACTAGTTTACCGGACCGAGGTTTCTGTTTCTGTTTGTGCTTTTTTCTCGTCCATTGGTTCCTCTGAGCTCTTTTGTTTCCCTCATAATCTGTATCATCTTTCTCTTTGCTCGTTGTAACAAAACCCCAAAAATAAAACACCGACCTGGATCCAGGATGCAGAAAATGGGACTCATAAATTAGCAGCGTTTGTCAGAATCGGGCAGCAGCCTGCTCGTCCCTGCAGTGAGTTACACATTTTTGAAGGTGAGAGAGATTCTCCTTTTTCAGGGACATTTGTGCTTCGGCCGGCCGAGAGGAGAGAGTCCTGAGGTGTCCTCATTTCTGGCCTGTTCAGCAGCTGAGATGATGACACACTTTACCCCTCAGCCAGCACTTGGCTCAACAGCGGCACTCGCTGTTTGTAAAGCGGAAATATCTGACCTGTTTTTTTACTCTTGAATGATCATTTTCACGACACACAACTGCTTTTGTCCCCTTTTTACAAAATTGGCTTTACTAGAGTTCAATGGGTTTTCTTGTACCATCGTACCGGTTTGATTCTAGATATACACGGTTTGGTTAAACTGATGATGTCTGAGAAGGAAAACTCCTCTTGTATTCAAAAATCATTATTATGCAGAATGTAAACCTCTTTAGAATTTAGTTATCCCACATTTCCCCCCCGTTTTTAGGTCACTATTCCATCAGATTTGTATAAAATAGTGGATAACAAATCCCAAATGTACATCCGCGTTTTGTATCGGCTTTATCCAAATGGACTTTCTGTTGTTTTATGACAGGGTGGCACTGCTGAAGAAGAGCGGCGAGGAGGACTGGAGGAACAGGATCAACAAGAAACAGGAAGTGGTTAAAGCGGCGTCCACCGAGCAGCAGGCGCAGCAATGGGAGTCCGAGCCGACCTGCGAGAATACGGTCAGTCAGCGGAGTGACCGATAATAACTCAATTAAATGGATGTGTTCACGGGATGGGGGTGTGCAGATGTAGAGTCTGTGGTGGTTGGGCTCGGCTGTGGGGGGCTCGGGGGGGGGGGGGGGTGGTGGATCAGGCGTAAGTGGCCTCAGCTGTAATCAATCACTAATTGCGTTCTTCCCACTCGTGTGCGGAGGAGTAACGGAAGACGGGCCGCAGAGAGACGACGCCAGAAGAGGAACGTCCCGCGCACTCTGTGTTCCCGAATAAAACCTTCTGATTAAAGTGATTACGCCCCAAAACACCCGGCGGGTAACAGGAGTTCGTCACGCGTGCTTCTCTCGCCGCTATTACAGCTGGACCCTTTTCCCCCTGCAGTTCTTCTGCTCCACATTAGTATTCAGACGGGAGAATCCGCCTGCTTGAGCCCCCCGATTGTCTCCCCCCTAAACCCGTTACAGCAACAACGCCCTCCCCCCCTTTTCTCCCCGTCTGACCGAGGACTTCCCCCTGTGTTTAACCCCCTTCAGGAGGAAGGGGTGGTGGTTCAGGAGCACTGCGCTGTGTCTGTGTCTGAGCAGCTGTGGGTAAGATCCAGCTGTGGGCCAACCGGCCTCGCGTGGGACTCCTATTGTCCAACCGCAGCTCGGCGTGGACTTTGTGTGGTGGCTTCTCCTCGGCCCGGCTCTGCTCGTTTTGACTTGAGCAGTTTCAGTACTTTCATTAGCGCTTTGCTGATTCCATCTTGAAAGCAGCATTAAGTAATCAATTTAATTCAAAACCAGAGAAAGTTAAGTCAAATATATAATATAATAATATATAATTTTGTCTTTACCAGCAACCATTTTAAACCTGGATGAATTTACTTTATTGACATGTGGCAGCAATATCAGTACTTTGATTGTAAAATTGTAGTGATAGCTATTCCAGAAAGATAATACAGTATAATGATAGAGTGACTATATATACACATTTGTTGTCAGCACTGCTTTTTAATTTTAATTTGCACAACATTTAATTTGCTGTTTTAGCTTAAAAACCAAATATGTTCAATCTAAAAGAATGTATACATATATTCCACATATTCAGTAAGTTGTTGTTTGAAAGATGGAGATAAGAACCTGTTTCAGTGGTTAAAGGAGAAATGTAAGTGGCGTTTACCAAAAACACCCTTTATTTTTAAGGGGTTTATTGTGTTGTGTTTATAAGTACTGGATTGTTTTCAAAAGACCATTTAAATGAAAGAATCTTAGTTGGTTAAATACAAAGTACTGTACTGCTATATGATCATTCATATTTAAATTAGTACTTAATGCACCTTTTAAGCTGTGTTTTTGCTCCTTTGGCGATTTAATGACTTTTTTGTGCCAGATTCAAAGCTGATCAAATTCCAAATCGACCAAAGACAAAATGGTCCCTGCAGTTATTGTTACTAAATGAAGTCACGATTGCTTGCAAAGCTTTTAGATCAAGTCCGGAAGCTGCATTATAGCGAGAAGCTTTACAACATTCATGTTACATTCCCAGTTTCTGTCCTTCTCTCCTTTTGCATCCCTCTTTCATCTGCATGCTCATGCTTTTTTCTTCCGTTTCCTCCTTCGCTTTCCTTTCTTTCACTTTTCCATCCACCTCTGCATCCCCAGGAGCCTGTCTTCTCCTCCACCTTTTCTCCTACTATCTCCCTCGGCCAAAAGTGTCAGTACATTGACCATCATTGTCAGGTAAGGACGCGCACCCAGCACGCCCGATGCGCTGCATGCACTGAGTACGGCCCCGGTTGAATAAAGTAGTTCATGCGGGCTTCGGAAGGACTCTCGCCGAGCACGTTTCAGCGCATCAAGTCCTTTTATACCTGCTTGATTTGATCGTGTGACCACGTGGATGATCGCTCCCGAGGGCACAGTCGTGTCCGTTTAGCTTTCTGTTTGAATGCAACTGAAAACCGGCTCACTGCGACAGAATCTTCTATAACGCGCCGGCGTCTCTGATGTCTCCTCCGTGCAGAAGATGGGAGAGCAGATCGAGGCCCAGATGTCCATCGAGGAGAGAAAACAGATGATCTCCGTCCGGGAGGAGGCCTGGAGGACAAAGGGCAAAGGAGCAGCCAATGACTCCACGCAGTACACCGTGGCCGCTCGCATGGTCAAGAAAGGTCAGTGTGCGGAAACCGGCTGTTTCCGCCCACCTTCATGGAGGTGTGCGCCGCTCGAACACGACGACGTGCAGGAATTCTATGGCCAAATAAGCAACTGCGCTTTCTCGAGATTATTTAGATTTGTTTCCCGGTGAGACTTATTTCGCATCAGGGAAAACAAGCGCCACATTTTAAAAACACGACACTGTGGTTTTGTAGTGAAACTGCAGATTAGATTTAAATTTTTTCGCAAATTGAAATTGAAGGTTTGATTCCAACGGGGCCGATTCCCTGCCTTTTAATATATTATTGACCGTAACGTCCTGTCTCGTGTGCGTCTGCAGGCCTCACTGCCTCCTCCTCCGTCATCAGCCCCATCCTGTCGCCGGTCTGCACCAAACTCAAGAGCAGCATGCCGGCTGTCAACAAACCACAAGAGGGTGAGACTGATCCGGGTGCAGCAGCTTCGTCTCTTCAACCAATCAATGATTTCACCTTTTAAACTAATTGAACTATGGTTTTAAGAAGCGGGGGACATTATTTCAGCAGGTTGAGATCATTTAACATCTGTATTATTTCATTTATAGAAATTGAGGCGAGATCAGAAATGGAATCGGACAAGAAACTCGACAAGTTGGAGAGCTTCTTGGGACGTCTGAATAGCAAAAGTATGAACTTCCTCTCCGACCTTTAAGCTGCTTAATTGCTGTTATCATCTTTGCCTCTTTGTCACGTTTTTCTGCCGTTTCGGCGACTTCTACCCTGGTTGTGTTCGTCCTCGTGTTTGGGCCTAACGGGCTTTTCCCTCTTGTTGCTCAGTGGCAGGTCTGCAGGAAACCACCCTAACAGTTACCGATAGGGCAGTGAAGGAAGTGATGAAGCTGGACGACGAAATCTTCTCCAAGTTCTACAGACGCGTTGCCGAATTCCCGCGCGTGCCCACCAGGATCGAGATCAGCGAGGATTTCGACTCCATCTTTGGTTGCCAGGGCCCGAAGTAAATGCCCAATACGGCTTCTCGGGGACGGCTCGATACCAGTCAAACCCCTCGGCCTCCGCTCACGAACCCGCTTCCCTCCCGCTCCAGGTTGACGTCGGCCATGGTGCAGCACAAGCGGTCGGTGCGTCCCTCCAGGAACGTCCGGGCGTCCAGGAACCCTCTGAAGATGCTGGCGGCCAGAGAGGACATCAGACACGAGTACACGGAGCAGAGGCTGAACGTGGCGCAGTTGGAGAGCAAGAGGATGAAGGCCGAGAAGAGTGAGCGTAAGCATTTGTTTATCTGTGTGTGGGGGAAGGAGGCGCTTTAATCGCTTGTTGTTTGTTGGGAAAAAGAAAAATGCCCCGTTGGAGGATTAGTAACATTATTGTTGTTTACAGCCCACAAAAACCATCTCCACCTTGCGTGTTTATTGGGTAAACAGAGCTAATTGGAATGCAGCCTCAGATCACTCACTGCACTCGTTCAGTTCTCGTTTAATGGAGCATTCATGTTATGTTTCATTTCTATTAAATGTATACTAATCCCTAATTCCAGTGACTAAATCCTCGGAGTACTCTGAGGCCGCTCTGGCAGGTCTGGCCAGTAAAGAAAACTTCAGCAGCGTGAGCCTGCGCAGCGTCAACATCTCCCAGCAGATGTCAAACAACAGCGCCGTGCCGTACAAGGACCTCATGCTGATGCAGGTCAAAGGTAAAGAAAGATGGTGCTGAACCGCATGCTGGAAGCTCCATTCCCTCCACTTTCTTTAATCTCCTCCATGAGTCTTTTTAAGACAGCCGATAAGCTTATTTCCCAGAAATGTCAAACTGTTCCTTTTGATTCCATCAGATGTGCTAAAGGAACTGAAAGGTATAATGTCGTAGTCAAACCAACAAACGTCAATGATGAATGGTTTTCTCGTCCCATCCGGGCGGGACATAACTCTGCTCTATATCTATGAATCAGTAAATTGACAAATGGATCTTTTTTTTTCGCAGGTCGTCGTCACGTTCAGACCAGATTGGTGGAGCCGAGGGCGTCGTCGCTCAACAGCGGCGACTGCTTCCTGTTGGTCGCTCCAGAGCACTGCGTCGTCTGGCTGGGAGAGTTCTCAAATGTCATCGAGAAGGCCAAGGTGGGCGCCTGCTCCTCAAGAGCCCACAGTCCTTCATTCACACGCACACACACACACACACACACACACACACAGGAATAACAGAGCACACAGAATTACACATATGCAATATGTCCCCGTCCCCAAGGGATGTCTGTCTAGACACTTTGTGATAAACATTTCTTTTTCTACTCCGCCTCCTCATTCACTGCTGTTTACACATTTTATTATGATTTGATGCACAAAAAACCTTAACATCATCCAAGTGTCTTTACAGTAACCTCGGTTGTCTCGGTTGTTATGAGCGGCACCTTTTTTCTCCGAATGTTCGTGTCATAGTGAAGCAGAACGCCGCCGAGGCGTGTTCCTGTTTATATCACTAAAGTCACGTTCTTTGTTTCTTACTCGCAGGCAATAGATCTGGCCGCCTTCATCCAGGCGAACAAGGACATGGGCTGCAGGGCGAATCAGGTGCAGACCATTGAGGAGGGGGTCGACCCGCAGGGTGCAGATGCTCAGCAGTTCTGGACAATCCTCGGAGGACAGACCGCTTACCAACGTAAGACGTCACCTCGTTGTTCAGATCTGGCGAGAGGGGTTTCAGGTCGTGGCTCCTGCCTCGTGTGCACGATCCACTTTCTGACGCGTTAACAAACGGATCGCTCTCACAGCGGCCGGTCCCCCGGAGGAGGACGAGCGGTTTGAGAACGCCATTGTGGAAACCAACTGTATCTTCAGACTGCTGGACGACAAACTGGTCCCTGATGACGACGCGTGGGGGAAGGTACCTCACAGCTCTCTGCTGGCTTCCAAGGAGGTCAGTGGGACCAACGTTCTCTCCCTTGTTTTTGGATTCAGGTTATTGGATTAGAACCCTTGATTGTAACTCTTTAGCTGCCTTCGGTTGCCCTCTGACTGGCTGTGGAGGCTCGGTTTCTGTTGCCAGTAGCTTCATGAAACCAGAACAATACGGCTTCATCACAGTTGTGCAACTTCATGCTACAATATGATTACGTTTTACGGTTTTCTGATGGTGGACTTTTCCTTTCAGGGCACCAAGCTCTCGACATCAATATTAGTATTATGTCGGCGTTCTTAAGAGGAGCTCTCGGCTTCTAACTGGTTTGAAATGTGTTGCTTAGCAACAGCAGGTGCAATGGCGAGCACCTCCTACATCCATCTGTGCACCGCTACCACTGAGAAATATAAAGGGGATCAGGACGGGGAGGCTAACTCAAATAGCTGCCTTTGCATATTTATGAAGAAAATTCTGAATGTTTTTACTCTATTTTCACATTTTTTTAAGTTTGTTTTATGTTCATATTCCACCATTTATTCACATTGTTGTAACACTCACTGTGGTGCTCCATAAATGTGCAGATGGTGTCGCGTAGAGACGTTCCCATTGTTTTCGTGGCAGGTGCTGGTGTTTGACTTCGGCAGTGAGGTGTACGTGTGGCACGGAAAAGAAGTGACTCTGGCTCAGAGGAAAGTGGCCTTCCAGCTGGCCAAGCACCTTTGGAACGGGACATTTGACTACACGTGCTGTGACGTCAACCCCCTTGACCCTGGAGGATGCAATACACTCATACCCAGGTGGGAAACACACAAACGCGCACACACACACACACACACACTTGCAGTAATGTCCCCCACAGCATCACTGTCAGGATCTTCACTGCTCTTGATTATTTACAATGATAAATAGTCTTGATGATGATTTGCATTCCTGCAGCACCTTGTAAAACAGTTCAGTCAGACGAAACGAAGACGAGACGAAGTCAATGAAACGTTACTGTCACAATCTGCTTCTTCATATTTGAGCCACAGTGATTACAAACTGTCTCTAAAAACACTGCTGTACACTATTTATACTATATATTTATAAGTATCAATGCATATTCACACACAAGTGGTCTTCCCTTGATTTAACAGTCTGATCTTGTCATATTTCCTCTTGCTGTGTGTGTGTGTGGGACACAGGAAGGGCCAGGGCCGTCCCGACTGGGCCGTATTCGGCAGGCTGACCGAGCACAACGAGACCATCTTGTTCAAAGAGAAGTTTGTGGACTGGACAGAAGCGAAGTCGCCGACGCCAAAGGAAGGCGGCGGCGAGCTCGTACCCGAGCAGAAGGTGCAAAGCCACGCGCGCTTCATGGGGATAATTGTAGAACTTGTCGCGCTTTTGAGTGGACGCAGTATGAAGCCTCCTTGAGAGGCACGTGTGACCAATGGCCGCTAAAATAGAAATAAGAGAAGCACATGTGACCTATCAAATCACGCGGGCTGCTATTAGCACTTCTCAAAATGTCCTCTCCTCATCTCCCCCAGGAGACCCCGGGGCGAGAGTGCCGGCCGTACGACGCCACCTTGATGCTGCCCGTCCTCCAGTCGTCCATTTGCACCATCCTGGACGGGTCGAATGTCGGCCGCGGCCACGGCCCCGTGGAGACCGAGGACCACATGAGGACTCAGGAGATCAGCACGGCCTCGGTGGACGTCTGGCACATCCTGGAGTTCGACTACAGCCGCCTGCCGCGCCAGAGCATCGGCCATTTCCACGAGGGAGACGCCTACGTGGTCAAGTGGAAGTACATGGTCAACACCTCAGGTCAGAGACGACGACGCCGCTGCTGCGGTAACCACATCACTATTGACTCTTCAGAGTCCTTGGTTGACGTTTTGGTCGCGTGCGTGTGTCAGTTGGTCGTAGGCAGAACCCCGAGGCGAGGAGCAGCGGCCCGGGGAAGGAGAGGTGCTGCTACTTCTTCTGGCAGGGTCGACACTCCACCGTGAGCGAGAAAGGAACGTCGGCGCTGATGACGGTGGAGCTGGACGAGGAAAGAGGGGCGCAGGTACAGTAAGCGCGACTAAACATACATCTAACAGAAGTTAACTGTTAGCTGGTAATATCCCACACCCCCTAAATAACAGACAAGCCTCATATTAAGAACTGTTTTTATGACGATGTTGATTGGTCGGATCCTTAATGAAGCTCCAGCTTCCTATTTATCACCCGAAATAGTGTTTTGTTTGCACGAGTCTCATGACCCTCCGTCTGTTGCAGGTTCAGGTGCAGCAGGGAAAAGAGCCTCCGTGTTTCCTGCAGTGCTTCAACGGCGGCATGATCGTCCACGCTGGCAAGAGGGAGGAGGAGGAGGAGAACACTCAGAGTAAACCTTTTTACAGATCTGCTCCTTTTTCTGCACACTAATTGTTCAATGGCTGAACGACGCAGCTCGTCCACCTGCAGAAGCTCCTCTTAATCAGAATAGATGTTTGCTCGTAAGCCAAATGTTCCTTCTTTTAGCTGCATATTTGTGAATATCTACACCTGAATCTACACCTCATATTATAACCTTTTGTGACAAAATAAATGTCAAAAAAGTGGAATTTCTTTAAAATAGAAAGCAGTTAACTTGACAGTTAAAATGCTGGAGATTTATAAATCCTTTCATAATGAGAATTATCTTCATCATTTGAATAAAATGCTGCATTTGAATGTGAAAATGAAGGACGTGTTTAGTGTTATTATCACAAGGGAACCCGGTCATTTACTAACATAACTCACTGAGTGATAACCCCCCCTCTGCCTCCAGGTGAGTGGCGTCTGTATTGTGTGCGGGGCGAGGTGCCGGTGGAGGGCCACCTGCTGGAGGTGGCGTGTCACTGCAGCAGCCTGCGCTCCAGAGCCTCCATGATCCTGCTCAACATCAACAAGGCCGTCATCTACCTGTGGCACGGCTGCAAGACGCAGCTACACACTCGCAGCGTGGGGAACACGGCCGCGCTCGAGATCAAACAACAGTGAGTTTCGCGATGACTTTTAAGATGCTGTTCGGTCCATTAGCGCCGGTTGAAATGATTGCAACCGGTGGGCTGCGTTTGTTTGCATTGAAACATGCATTCTGTCTCCCCCTCAGGTGTCCTCTGGAGGCGGGTCTCCACAGCAGCAGCAAGGTGACCATCCATGAGTGCGATGAGGGGGCGGAGCCTCCGGGCTTCTGGGAGGCCCTGGGGAGAAAAGACCGGAAGGCCTACGACTGTATGCTGCAAGGTAGAGTCACACATCTACTCTGACGTCACACATAATTACTACAATTATGTTCTTATAGAAACCGCAGAGATCCAAAATTGTGCAAATAGTTAAACTGAGTGAGTTAAAGTCCTCTAAAGGGAGTCTGGTTCTGAACAAGCAGGGGCCAAAAGTCCCTCCTGGTACCTTTTTATTATTGTCTTCAAACAGAAGGACACTTTGCCCATAAATCAAAAGTGTATGAAGTTAACAAAGGAAATGACCTGAAGTCGACAATATGTGATCAGCACCTAAATAAGATCAGGATGAGAACATATCGGGTCTCAAGGATCAATATATCATCAAATGAAGGTTTCTGATTTTGTTCCTCAGATCCAGGAAACTTCCACTTCACCCCCCGGCTCTTCCAGCTGAGCAGCACATCTGGAGACTTTGTGGCGAGTGAGTTCTTCCACCCGTCCGGAGCTCCGGGCCTGGTCAGCTCGCTGCCCTTCCTGCAGGAGGACCTGTACAACGCGCCACAGCAACCCGGTGAGGCCGTCCGCCTCGGGGACGCGCGTCCTGTCTCATGCTGGCGGGTGTCGTACGGAGATGTAACCCTCCCTCTCTCCGTCAGCGCTGTTCCTGGTGGATAACTTCCACGAGGTCTACCTGTGGCAGGGCTGGTGGCCTCAGGACGGCGAGAGCACCGGCTCGGCTCGCATGCGATGGGATTCGGACAGAAAGTGTGCGATGGAGACGGTGCTGCAGTACTGCAAAGGTCAGCGCAGCAATCAACTATTTGTTTGCCATGAGGCAGCATGAGGGATTTTTGTTATAGAAATATCGAAAACAAACCTGGGAATTTGAAATTTCCTCACAGAGAAGAACGAGAAGAAGCCTCAGAAGTCGTATCTGGTCCACGCCGGCCTGGAGCCGCTCACCTTCACCAACATGTTCCCCAGCTGGGAGCACAGAGAGGACGTGGCCGAGATCACCGAGAGGGTCAGACACACACACACACACACACACACACACACACTGTCCCAATACTCTGTTATTGGCATCATTGGGACTTCAAGGTTTCATGCCGTGTCCTCCGGCTGCAGGAGGCGGAGGTGTGTAACCAGATCATTCTGGTGGAGGACGTGTTGGCCCGGCTGTGTCAGAACACCTTCCCTCTGGCTCAGCTGCAGGCGCGGCCGCTCCCAGAGGGCGTCGACCCGCTGCGCCTGGAGATCTACCTGTCCGACCAGGACTTTGAGGTCAGTGAGCCGACCTGCAGAGCCGATGCACCAAGCCAGGTTTCTGCTGTGATGTTGGAAGCAGGGTTAAAAGTAAACATGCTTGTTTTAGAGGGCTGTCTTGCCTCTTGTGTTAGACCTTTTGGGACATTATGGTCATTAAAAGAGGCCATTCAGAGGGAAATATGAAATCATAAATACATATTTTGAGTAACTTTAAACTAAATGGTTTATTCAATGTGTTTTTTTATATTTGGAAGTTCAAAAAGTAGCTGAACTTTACACTGAGGGGCAAATTCACATCACTTTCATCACCGATCTGCTCCGTCTTAAGGTCAAAAACACAAAACATGTGGTGCAAATGGACCTCCAGAAGGCAACAAGTAGCGCCAATGTGCAGACCTTCTGCTTTGTGTTGATAACGATTGAAACAGACTATTCAGAGGTGGATCTTCCCTCTGCGTCTACAACGCGTTCATCTCATCCATCCTAACTCGTCTAACTCTCGTTTTACAGAGCAAGTCGTAGGTGGATTCAGGTAAGAAGAGCCACCCGTGTGATTCGGCATCCAGGCGACCTGTCCTTCCTTACAGCACGTCGGCACTGTGTTTTTCCTTCTTTCTGTCTTTCTTACCGTGGTATGAAATCTCTGTTTCACTGCCCGAGTGTGGTGCTGCTCCAGGAGGAAGGTTTTGCGCCTGGCTGCACAATTGCGTCTGAAAAGAACACCGTTAGATATCGGAGGCACAAAGCGTTCCCGCACAACATGGAGGAGTCAGTGGAGTACGGAGAGTGATACAAATAGAAAAGTATTCAAAGTATGTCTTTGTTTTCCATCAGAAACGAGCTTCAACATGAACCTCGATGGGGGTTTTGGAATCTGCCGTTTTCAACACATTTGCTTAATACCGAGGTTGTAAATTAGGCCTTTTGTGATGATCGAGACATTTAATTGTGCAGCCATTGTTCATTTCATCTCCTCTTTAGAAGGTGTCTGTTCTCAACTACCTGACACTGTGTGCTCCTCCCTGCTGCCGCTGCTCTTCTCCCTTCACACACACACACACACACACACACACACACCTGAGAGCATTTCCTCTGCACTTGTGATTCACCATCAGCTACGCTGCAGTCTGACTCACTGTCTGTCTTTGGAGCACAAAATGGAGGCATGAAAAACCCTGAAACCACCAAAGTAGAATTAAGACGAATTAACACGAGCGTGACCGACCCGAGTGACGTGAACATTAACAAATGGAAATGTGACAGAAGTCCAAGATGTACAAGATGCTGCTTTTTATGTCATAGAGAGACTGTTGATGCTTTTTTATATTATTATAATCTGAAACAGGAAATATTTATTTCTTTTATTTTTTTACAGGTTTTGCTTTGATAGTTTAAACATTTTTGATTTGATGGTTTTCATTTCTTTATTGATCCAGTCAGAAGGTACCTGACTGGTGCAGATCATCAATCATCATTCATTCAATTTCACGATTTCTAGAAACACAAAAATGGCACGAAATGAAAGTTAATAAACATTATTTATTAGTTCAGTTTCTGTAAAAATAGATTCCTACAGATAAAATAGCGTTTCTTTGATATGGTTCTAAAGCTATTATGAGTAACAGAGAAAGACACCTTTCTTATAGAAAGGGTCCGTAAGTTGTTCTTTCTTCAGATGAATCACCCGCATGTTTCTCTCCTCACAACCGCAGGAAGCTTTGGAGCTGACGAGAGAGGAATACGAAGGTCTACCGGGGTGGAAGCAAGTGAACCTAAAGAAGGCCAAAGGGCTGTTTTGAGGAAGTTTGTAAATCAAAGATGGAAGCGGATGAAATACATAAATAAAGTGCGGCTGAGATGGAGACACAGGAAACCGGTTTTGATTGACATCGGAGACGGAGGGACGTTCATCGAGGATGAGGCCTCGCTTACAGTCACGTTTTACCTTTCAACTACGTAACGCAAAGGAGACCCGACCCCCCCGACCCCCCGGGGTGAGAGGAGTGAGGGCGCACACCTGGTGCTCACGTGTCCACGGAGTCGCCGAAAGGCCCGTGAAAAGGTGCACACCATGACGCCCGGTGCCCTGCTTTGGTCGCGTGTTTGTGTGTGTGTGTGTACGATTTGTATATAATGTTTGTGTGTACCGTCGATGTAAAGGTGTGCGTGTCCATGTAAAATTGTGTCAGGTCACATGTTGTGGGGAGTTTTCCTTTGTTTTAGTTGTTTTGTTCTACAGTGAACAGCTGAAGTGACTCTCGGCTGAAAGGAGTTGATATTTAAAAAAAGGTTTGACTTGTTGGAGAAAGAAGAAGAAGCAGCAGCTCTGAATGTATAGTGCCTTGCTTTTTGTGTACAGTTTATATACAGAAATTATAGTCTGCCATTTTTAAAGACTTTCTTTGTGATATAAGACAAAGTGAATTAAATCGCGATGATGCTCAACTCGATCCACGTGTCGCTCTGTGTCTCGCGCAAAGGGACTTACCTTTACCTCTATTGAGAAATAAGCCTGCGCTTTCATCCACGACTGACAAATCAACTCCGCAAAGAGATCATGTAGCTGGTTAGCATCAAACCACTGCAGAGAACAAAGGAAGGCCCGGATCACTTATGAGGATGCATCTCAGAGTAGCCACGACAAAGAAGGTGCAGTTATACTATATTATTCTGCATTTGCAAGTTGCAGATGTTTGGAGTTGTCTCAAGGGACTTTGTTTTAACATGTTACCACAATGTTAGATGAACTCTTACTCAATACTGGCGAGCAAGAGCCAGAATGAACACACATAAGTCTTCTTCTTTGGTACTGGAATATACAGCTGGAAGATATAAATACTAAAACAGTGGGTGGGGGGGGAGCTGGCAATCACTCTTGGGTGGAGGTCGTCATGCTCCTGACCTTTGGACACACATGCATTCTGCCCCACGAGTCTCCTCTAGATTACACGGACATCCTGACTATCAGGACACAACGTGCCTCTGTGCAGAGGGTCCGGAGTCTGACTACATTATTTACCCAGCGTAGTTTTACAGCCGTGTGAGCTGACGGGGGGGAAAGTCCGACAGCAGAGGGAAGCAAACACAGCGAGGTATGTTGACTTTTTTGGCAACTCAAGCAGGACTGAAAGGGCTTCTCCAGAGGAGCAAACATTAGGCGCTTTAGTGAGTATTTCCAGCAGCAGGACGTGTGTATGTGGGATTGACACAAAATAAATATGTTCACGTCAAAGAGGGTTCCAATGCATCGCTGGGGTGCATTGCTATTTCCTTGAATTGCTAATGGAGAATAGATCTCTCTGGCATGGAGGAATGAGATCTTTTTTTGGGCCTTAAATACACAAACCACTCTCTCAGGAGCCCGTCGTTAGGTCCCTTTAGCCACAACCTGAGCCCCCCCCCCCCTCCATCAACACCTGGATTCCATAAATCCCGCAAAGCAAACGTTTTTTGGAGATTAATTAATTCATTCCTGCTCTTTGTTCATACTGCAGCAATGTTTTTGTAAATCTTCGGACGAAGAACACAAGGCCTTGTTGCCAGCGGAATTTGACCTACATTCATGACTTTGACTTATATAATATGCAGCTTTAGCACAAAGTACAACGTTCCTGGCCACACTCGAGCCTCCACAGTCGCAGCGTGATTAGTTCTGGTTAGTTCTGACGGCTTTGCCTGTTTCAAAATACTTATCTGGATCGGAGTGAGGTGAGGAAACGTGATGACAATGCATGCATACGACTGTAGTAGTAAGAAGTAGCAAATAAATAAAAATGTTGATTATTCTCATTCTATAATAATATATAATATTTGCATTTGTAGGTCTATGTACTTGTGATTTTGTATGTATTTTTTTTTACATATTGTATGTATTTATTTTGTATTCCATTTAAATTTTATCCAGACCTTGGCTCTGAAATAAAAGTTTGATTCATTTGAATAATGGAAAAACTGTTAATACTGTTCTTCACACATCAAAGTAGGAGATGAGTAGTTTACCCTTTTGTTTTGTCACAATGGCAGTGAAAACGCAAGGCTTGTCAGTGGGGGGCTCTGGAAGTATAAAGTCTGTCTACACTGTTGTAGATGCGTTTTCTAAATGAAGTAAAATCTTTGAATCTAATTCAGATGTTCTGCCCACCAGCCGATGTCAGGCTTTTATTGTGAAGCAGCTCTGGATTCCTTGGTTCATTAAAAACATTAAAATATGTCACTTTGCTCTGGGACACGTGGTTTAACGTCTCCCAAACCCGTGGTTTGAGTTTGGGAGGACATCGTGGGTTTTTTTAATAAATTCCAAACGTCTCTCAATGTTTAAACAGGACGGATGGGAGGGATGTTTCGTTTTTATTTCAAAGGGAATGCAGTTCGCTCCCACTAACAGAAGCGCGACGATTCGTAACAACATCGTTGTGACAGAACGTTCTAGCTTTTCATTCACAAATTCCCCCCGTCTGTGTTGTGACGCACTGACATTTGGCCCTCGAGCTGACGCCGTTACTAAGCAACAACAAGTTGTTTGGCGGCCATTACTTGCGCGGTCTCTCCTTCCTCGCAACGAGGTACAATCAGAGCAATTCTCTATCGGAGTTTTTTTTTTTTTTTTTTTACAACGTTGCCACGGGTCCCGACGGTCAACGTCACCGTTACACAAAACCAGCCCGAAAATTCTGCCGCAACGTCGCTGCGTTTGTGTGCCGGTGTGACGTCACAGTGCTTAGTGTACGAGGCTGGACTCACTACAAACAAATGCACTACACCACTGGCACGTGACACGTGAGCTCTTTACCTCAAACCCACATTTTTGCGCATACATACGAGAATATTTTGAACAATTCGGCATTTGAAATGACCGCTAACGTTACGTGTTCTCTTTCTAACAGCTGTGGTAACCACCGCCACAACCGCCGGAAGTCTCCAGTAAACACGCGTCACCTGTTAAACCGTAACACCTCTTTCAGACGGTAAGTCGCGTCACCTTAGGTAATTCAAACTAACGTTACAACAGGCAGTCGTTGGTGTTCTTAAGGATACAGAAATAATATATTATAACAATATATATATATATATATATATATATATATATATATATATATATATATATATATATATATACGCTTCAAAAAAATGTGTTTCACTTTGACAGTCACCCGTTTCGGTCTCCAGTCACGCACTCCGACACACATCCAATTTCTCAGCAAAAAAACAAACAAATCCGAGCCGCGTTGGTTCCTCTTCCAAAACGTGAATGGAGCAACACCGAATTGATACAACTCGTTTATTTGTTTTATTTTTTGCCCAATGCGGGGGGTGGCGGTGAGGCACCTTTCGTTGGATGCCCTTCGCCTTAAAACATAAAAGAAGAAAAAGAAAGAGGAACGCTGTGGGTCACAAGGCAAGTCTTTAGCTCCCTGAGATCAATAATGGGGCAGGGAGGAATAAAGTCGGAATTTATAATTTTTTTTTGCAGGCCACTGTTCTCTGAATGACAGAGGTTTTGATTGAGTTTGTTTTGGTTTTATTTGGAATTTCCCTTCCTCTTGAGTCCCATTGATTGGGTCCTCTGTGTCTTATCAGCTACACCTCCCCCGTGTATTTAAACCCTTTCGCCCCTGGTCTCTGTGTCGTCTTCCATGTCATTTATCCTGTTGTCCCTGTACTTTTTTCTGAAGGTACACCTGATTCAGTTTTGTCTGTTTGTTTTCTTTTATTTTTGCTTATTAATACCCCCATGAATAATAATTTTGTACCCGTGTTTATCTGCATTTGGGTTGATCCCGTTTTTATTTTGGCCCCTCCTGACAATTTTGGGCTGGACGAGTTATCTACATGAAACTATGTGAGATCTTTAGTGGAGCCACGGCCCCTTTGGTGCAACCTGAGGACATCTGACACTTTACAAAATACTCCAACAAAACATTGGGTCACAAGCCTAAAAGTTTGGGAACCACACGTTTAAACTTTGTTAATGCATCGGTCTTCATGTTTCAGAAAGATGTCCTCCCAAGTCCGCCTGAGGCTGCTGCCGAGAGCCAGATGCATGTTCGACGAGCCCGTCCAGGTGAAGGTGGCCGGTCTCAGGTCGAGACAGATGGTCACCCTGAGAGCCAGATCCACTGACGAGAAGGGAGTGGTGTTCAGCTCCTCGGCCACCTTCAGGGCTGATGGGAGCGGGCAGATCGACCTGGAGAGGGACCCCTCCCTCGGTGGGACCTACACCGGCGTTGAACCCATGGGTCTGCTTTGGTCCATGAGGCCGGACACTTTGCACAAGAGGTTCCAAAGAACAAAGTCTCTAAACCCCCACATGGTGAAGATCTCAGTTCATGACCAGGAAAAGGAGGAGGGCAGGATCCTGGCAGAAGCGACCAATGAAAGGCTCCTGATCGGAGACGGGGTCATCCGGCGCACGGTCAGAGAGGGGAATATTCGTGGTGTCCTCTTCACTCCGCCAGGTTCTTCTTTGTCTCTATCAAATATTCAAATCCTTTAATAACCAACATTAAAAGTAATGGATTATGAATTATGTTTTGATAGGATTTAGCTGCAGTGTTATAGCAGTGTTAACCTTCTGTGTTTCGATCCAGGAGAAGGTCCGTTCCCCGCTGTGTTGGATCTCTACACCTCCGGTGGAGGTTTGTCAGAGAAAAGGGCCTCCTTGCTGGCCCGTCGAGGGTTTGTGGTTCTGACTGTAGCGCTGTACGGTAACAGCGACATGTCGAGGAACATCAGAGAGATCCATCTGGATTATTTAGAGGAGGCGCTGGAGTTTTTGAAAAAACAATATAAGGCAAGTTGTTTGAACTGTAAACTCTTAATCTCTGAGAATACAGTTGTTTTTTGGGACACCGTTTTGTAGTTTTTCTGTCTATAACACTGCCAAAAGTATTTAATAACAAGCAGGTAATCGTTGGTGTGTTGGACCACAGGTTGGCGGTAAAGGAGTTGGTGTGATATCCATTTCAAAAAGTGGAGATCTGGCACTGTCGATGGCCTCTTACCTGCAAGGAGTCGAGGCCGTAGTGTGGATCAACGGCTGCTCCGCCAACACGCTTCTTCCTCTCTACTATCAGAAGAGCCAGATCCTCCCCCCGTTAATGGTTGACCTCAGCAAGCTGATTCCCACTGAGTCGGAGGCCTTCAATGGCAAGAAGGTTATGAACGACCCTCTGGCAGAGGAGAACGAGGCCACGCTGATCCCTGTGGAGCGGGCGGAGGGACGTCTCCTCTTCGTGGCCTCAGAGGACGACCTCAACTGGGACAGCACGGCTTACGTGGACATGATGGTGGAGCGACTGCAGCGTCACGGGAAGGACAACTTTGAGACTGTATGTTATCCCGGAGCGGGACACTATCTAGAGCCGCCTTACGGACCATACTGCCCCTCCAGTTTTCATGCAGTTGCGGGCGGGCCGGTCCTGTGGGGGGGCGAGGCCAGGTCCCACGCTGCAGCTGAGGTCCACCTGTGGAAGAAGATCCAAGAGTTCTTCAGGGCTCACCTGAGCTGTGATGCTACACAGACTAAAGCTAAACTCTAGATGCAAATATCACGATGTGAGAGAGATGGGTAACAGCTGAGGGGGGTTACAACTGCAATCAAATAAAACAAGCAAATAATACAACTACCGAAATATACATTACAGGTAATTTAGCTGATGCTTTTATCCAAAGGGACTTATATTGCATTTTTAACCCATGGCTTTTTACATTTTTTCCCGGGAGGCAATTAGGGGTTAAGTGTCTTGCTCAGGGGCACTTCAACATGGGACATGGAGCGGCTGGGGCTCGAATCGCCAACCTTGTGGTTATCAGCACACCCTCTCTACCCCTGCGCCACGTCGTCTGAAATTTAAATGTAAAGCATGATTGCTAAATATGTATTAGTATGTGAATTTAATGTTTTTATTATATTGAGATGTTTTATCAAATATACAAAGCTGTCTAATTGCCTCTTTGTCTTTCTCCAACACTCAAATTATGACATTTCCTTCTATATTAATTTGGCAGATAGTCATATTTAGGGTTTTTTATCGAGGAGAGTAAATGTGGCCACTAGATGCCGATGTAAGCTTTACAATAAGGTGATCGAGTCCTGCATTTGTTACAGAACAGCCGATATGGAGATTTGTATCTGCAACAGCTTTGAGCACAATATCAGGAATCAGGAAACATTTATTGCCATAATATGTCAGACATTTGACTTGGCGGTTGGTGCGTAACAGCAGACAGTACGACAATGGACGACGAGACAGACAGTGAACGAGGAATAAAATAAAATCTAATGCTATGGGTTAGTAGTATAAGGCCATGGGTTTGTTTAAAAATTAAGGAATACAAGTTAAAATTAAAAATATTTAAAAATGTAAAATAAAGTGCTCCAGCGAACAGAAAGTGAAAAGTGACGTGTGCAGTGTGAAAGAAAGTGACCAGTGGAATGTCATAAGTCAGTCAGTGGGGGATCAGGCTCTGTTGATGAGACTGCCAACGGGGAGAAACTGTTGGTGTGGCGGGAGGTCTTAGTCCTGATGGACCTCAACCTCCTGCCACACGGAAGGGGCACAAACAGGTTTTGTCCGGGGTGGGAGGGGTCGGCTACCATCTTTTTAGCTCGCTTCAGGGTCCTGGAAGCAAACAAGTCCTGCAGGGACGGCAGATTGCAGCCGATCACCCTCTCTGCAGAGCGGATGACACGCTGCAGCCTGCCCTTGTCCTTGGCTGTGGCTACATCGTACCAGACGGTGATAGAGGAGCAGAGGATGGACTCGATGATGGCCGTGTAGAAGTGGACCATCATCGTCTTTGGCAGGTTGAATTTCTTCAGCTGCCTCAGGAAGAACAACCTCTGCTGAGCCTTCTTTGTGATGGAACTGATGTTCAGCTCCCACTTGAGGTCCTGATGATGGAGCCCAGGAAACGGAAGGAATCCACAATAGTGACGGGGGAGTCACACAGGGTGATGGGGGAGGGTGGGTCTCTGTTCTTCCTAAAATCCACAACCATCTCCACTGTCTTTAGAGTGTTGAGCTCCAGGTTGTTCTGCCTGCACCACAACACCAGATGGTCGGACTCCCACCTGTAGGCGGACTCGTCTCCACCAGAGATCAGTCCAATGAGGGTGGTGTCATTCGCAAACTTCAGGAGCTTGACGGACTGATGACTGGAGGTGCAGCTGTTGGTGTACAGGGAGAAGAGCAGAGGGGAGAGAACGCAGCCTTGGGGGGAACCGGTGCTGATGGTCCGAGAGGCTGAGACATGTTTCCCCAGCTTCACGTGCTGCTTCCTATCGGACAGGAAGTCCGTGATCTACTTCCAGGTGGAGTCGGGCACGTGTAGCTGGGAGAGTTTGTCCTGCAGCAGAGACGGGATGATGGTGTTGAAAGCGGAACTGAAGTCCACAAACCGGATACTGGCGTAGGTTCCTGGGGAGTTCAGATGCTGGAGGATGTAGTGGAGGGCCATGTTGACAGCATCGTCCACAGACCTGTTGGCTCTGTAGGCGAACTGCAGGGGGTCCAGGAGGGGGTTAGTGAGGGTCTTCAGGTGGGACAGGACTAGCCGTTCAAAAGACTTCATGACTACAGAGGTCAGGGTGACAGGCCTGTAGTCATTGAGTCCTGTGATCCTGGGCTTCTTGGGAACAGGGATGATGGTGGAGGCCTTGAAGCAGGCTGGTACGTGGCATGTCTCCAAGAAGGTGTTGAAGATGTCAGTGAACACCGGAGACAGCTGGTCAGCACAATGCTTCAGGGTGAGGGGAGACGCAGTCCGGGCCGGCTGCCTTACGGGGGTTTTGTCTTTTAAAGAGCCGGTTAACGTGTATATGAAATAATGTAAATACATAAATGTAAAACAAATACAAATAACTTTATGTAATCTATTTTCCCCAAGACTCCCGCTGACGTCATCAGTCTTTAAATAAAGGAAACAGATTGGCTCCTGCAGGCTCTGTTTCTTAGCATATACCATGTGTGTTCCAAAAGAGATACTGATTATCTGATGAAATGCACAAATCAATCCCTGAATAGCTAAAGTTAAGTACTGAAGAATACTTTGATCACTAATATTGATGTTATATGAACTGTAATTAAACACAAACTGGATAATAAATGTCTGAAGGTTCAGATCACACTGGAACTGTGGCTGAAAATCAATTAACAAGGATTAGTCTAAATATGGCTGTGAATAATGGGGACAAATGATAAGTTGTCACCCACTTTCACATTGAGTTTAACCAATAAAAGCAATTTTAAGATGCTGCCTTGGGCTCTGTAAATATTCAACATTCTTCACATAATTTATGTTTTGAACCATTGAAATCCCCATTTGACGATATAGAAACACACACACACACTAATTACACCTGCTCATTCATTCCCAGCTGCTTCTCATTCTCTCATCTCAACATCCGCTCTTCCCCTCACCTGTTCCTACTTCCTCGAATTAGATGCTCTATTTCTAGCCTGCCTCTCCCACTTGTTCTCCGCCAGAGTATTATCTACCCGCCCGACGTACCTAAATCTGCTGTCCTGTACCCGCTGCCTCGTTGTGTCCTGACGGTTCGTACTGAACTGTGTTGTCCCGTTGCTAACCTCTGTTTCCAGCCTCCTGTTTGACGTGGGTGGCCTGCTGTCTGGTGCGCGCTCCCTCGGCCTGGAACTCGTTCCCTGCGCTCACCGGGATTCCCCGTAGCCGGCCAAGCGCCCGCATCTCTTCTGTTAAGCCTTAAGAGCCTTTTGTTTGTGAGACCACCTTGTGGCTACCTTAGTTCCAATTTTGCCTTTTCCGTCCTGAGTTAATTAAAACAGACTTTACCTTCCCTTGCGTTTGGGTCCTCTCCCCTTCACATAGCAACAATTTGAGTGAAGCACAGATACAGAGAGTCTTTTCATGTCTGAAAGCATTGACCGTCATCAAGGACAATCATCTGTCAGCGTGGTTACATGGATTTGAAGGCTTAGTCGGACTGAAATCGAATTATCCGTTTCATTTAAACCCCTTTGTCTGACTGTGCGGTCCGACTACGAGCCGACTAACACCCCTGGATAACTCGATCCGATCCAGCTGGTAGTTCGACTATTGCGGCATGTAACGGTGAATCGGATAAGGAACTGGACTTTGCGTCTTTGCGCATGCTTGAGATCCCGATGGCGTCTTCTCTCCGTTATCAAATCAGCCAATAGCGCCATTCACATTCGCTGTACTCCTATTAACATCATGCAAACATAGTAGAGGGACGTAGCTTCACCTTGCTCTCCGTTCGCCATCTTTCTCGTGATGTTGATGTTGGTAGTGGTGAAGAGGTCAAGCGGAAATTGCTGTATCACAAGTAGTAGTAATGAAAACAGCTTCAGCTATCGGATATGACATGATTCGATTTATTCACTGCCATGTACATTGGGATAATAGCACTTGCCCCGAAAGATGGCATAGTCCAAGTAAGCAAAGATTTGAATTATACCATCATGTAAACAGAGTCTTGCGGGTTGCAGATGTTCACATCTGGGCATACCAGAATGCTTACTTTAACTTCCTCTCCACCAATTGCATCAAATCCAAAATACCAGAAAATGTATTTTCTGTCTGTAAGAAAATACCAACATATTCATGTAATTACTCTGTTTACTCTCAGGCTAATTTTGAGAAACAAAGATTCACTGTTAATTAAAGAATAGTCTTTAAATAACCTTTTAGGATCTGAACTTCTGATCAAGGATCACTACTGTTACCGTCGCCCCTTCTGAAACGAGAAGTCAAAAAGAGTCAACTAACTTGTTTAAAAATGATATAGAATTAACTAGCAGAAGCAATACAATTGCAAAGTTAATAACAGTATGAATAGTATAATATTTTGTGAAATAGAGAAGTCCCATGGTCCAGGTGTAAAGCTAAACTTATCAAGCCGGTTCCAAAAGAATTCTACCATTACCACTGTCTTTGTCCTTCAAAAACTGCTGCAAGGTATTTATGACTCCGTCCTGGCTCCATCTGATGGTCGAATCTGAAATCCCTGACAGACCCGACCGACCCCTGTTCCCTTAATACCACAGTACATTCAATGATCACACCTGAGGCTTAAAGCTTCTTCATGTAAACATGACATAACATGCATAATAACATCATCTAATAGCTAGTACACTTTAACAAAAACACATCCTAAATCATTAGTTCATCTCATTTTAACCATAATATTTAACAGTTTATATGGTACATCCTTTGCCCATAAACAACAAGACAGGAGACACAAAACCTCCATAAAACCATCTTTGGGGAGAAAATGTGGAAGAAATACATCAAGGAAGAATTAAGAGTCCTTCCTCAGATTTAACATTACATTGTGACAGGATGTTAATGTGAACAGTAATTAAATGACTATAAATCGTTTGATTCATATTGTAATTCTTAATATAACATGCAAATGTTTTATAACTAATTTCTAATAACCCACAGAACTACAATTCTATCACTAAATATGATCACATGTATAATATTTTCTACTACTAGGTGTGCTCTTCTGCTTAATCCCTAACAGATTTGAGCATAAGAGAATTCTTTATAAGAGCCAACCATGTGTTCAATCTATTGACTATCAGCGTAGGAACAGTACTTCACCTCTAAATATGAGTCCAAGAGCAAGAGTTAGCTGGTTATATATTATTTAATGTGCTAAATAAGCGAGGAGAAACTTTTACAGAAAAACATTCATGACGTGTTCATCTGCTTT